GGGTGCAAGCCTCAACTTACCTAATGACCATACGCTCTTTTAAAAACTTTACTTTCTGGCGGAAATCGATTCTGATTGCCAATGAATAACTTAAAACTGGCAAACATAAAGAAGACCAAGGTAAACATATCACGACGCACACTTCCGCAAAATGGCATTGGAACCACCATAACGCGACAAAGATGTGAACACTCAGTATAATTAATACTCACTAAAGTTAGCAACTTTACTGGTTATGTACATGCGGTTTTTTGAACTTCGGCCTCGTACCTTGAGCATGTTTTAGAGCGTTTCCTAAAAACATGCACAAAAATTTTACGGCCAAAATTAAAAACATCTTGGACTTAATTGAGAGTTCTGAACCTCTAACGCAGGAAGCCATATTTTTCTATTAATTAAATAAATTATGGATTTTACACACTGCACAACCTTCTCACTAAATTTAAATGATGATTACATAACGATTTTCATTACTAAAATTGAATATTAACTCAAAATTACCTAATTTTTTATTAATTTAACATTATCCTCTTATGTATATATACCATTTAGGTATTTAACTTTGTCATATAAATACGAGCTGCTCCTCTAAAATTACCGCCGGCCAACTTCCCAACTGTTAAAGGAACAGAAGTAGAATGCAAGCTCAATAACTTAAATACCTATTAAGAGTTAAGAAAAGATATCATATCCTAGTCAACCATTAAAGTTTTATGTTACAAAGGCGAGTTCTAGAAAAAAAAACCATTGTAGGAACTACCTATACTTTGGTTAAGAAAATACATAAAGTGCCGATTAAAATGAAAATGATGTATAGATACTATTGAATACAAATAATAGTAGTAAGTTAGCAAGAATAATTAAAACAACACTCAGATTAGTAGTAGTATAAAAGTCACATTTGCTAATGAAAGGTCTTTAAAAAGTTTATCTACATCAACGGCAACCACCTTAACACGGGCCCCCGGAAGCCTACAAAAATATAATTTGAACTCAAAGAGTCTGGATAGCATGATCGAATCTCTTCATCCATACAAACTTAGCACGACTCCTCAAGGAAAGAGTTCAATTTTTCTTATGTCTAAAAAAAACCTAAGTCTACTTTGTAAACTTGCACAAAATATTAATGCTGAGCTTTTGAGATTTAAAGACAGAAATAAATAGGTTTAATTAGTCTTATCAAACTAAACGATAACTGCATCAATACAAGTAAAAAGGAATCGATGTAGGGTTAAGCTTACATTTTATTTTTTAATACACGAGTCGATTGCTCTCTCCAAGTTTTAAAGGTAACAGAGGCCTTGCGTTCTGTCGTAACTGATGTTTGCGGTTTCTGATACCAATATTCGTTTTTTCTTTAAACTTTACTTGGTAAGTAAGTTGTAGGGATACAAAATGAGATAAAAAACTAAAATAAAATGTTAAAATCTTTTATTTGGATTTAAACTCGTTTCATATAAAATTTATCCTCTGTATGTTCTCATAAGACTACCGAAAAACAAATGCTCAAGATGTTTGTAACATCTGTTTTAATTTAAAAGTATACACGTCAAACATCTTTCTGCGAGGCTCCGCAAGCAGTTTTTGTGTGTGCGTCTAGTCTTATGTAAGGGTAGCGTATAGTAGTTGATTTAGGTATCTAGCGAGCAACGTAATTAATAGTTAATAAATAATTATTAACTTTTGCTACCGCTACCTTTCAGTGGGCACTATAGTACGCGAGAAGAGTAACATATCTTATCCAACACATCCGAAAAAGAAACAAAATAACTGGAGGTAGTAGCTGTCACTAACAATCAATAAAGAACAGTTGCTGTTAAATGTCCTTCTACTTCTTTGGCCTCATTAGGCCTTTATTAAGATTATTCTTGGAAACAAATGTAACACTGTTAGTTAAAAATCCCTCGCCAGCAGCATAGATAGCTTTGTAAAGCTTTCTTTTTTTTTAATGAATTAAAACTGTTCTCTACACTCTTTCCGTAATTTTTATATTATTATTCTACAAATGAAATATAATCATTTTATTACTAATGTAGTACCAACCTAAGCGCATTGGGAGATTACGTTAATTGTTCTACGTAACAATAAAAACCATGTGGTGTGACCTGCTTCGCCAAAAGAAGAAAACAACACTACCATTGCTTCGATTACGGGATAGCGCACTTCAACCAAATTTTAGAGGACAAAAATATAGCGAAATTGACGTAAAGCAAACCAATTTAAAATAGTACAGTATGTTTAAAAAACGTTCATTTTTTTAAGCAAAAATAATGTGTTATAAATTGTCTTCAACTAGTTTTTTTAAGAAAAACTAGAGGATTTCAATCATTCAATACTAATCATATTGCCTTCAGAGCTTTTATATTCACCATTATTTAGCGAGTCCAGCAAAGTTATACATAAGTAAATTTAAAGAAGTTACTGAAATTTAGGTTTATGGATCTTTTACGGAAACTTTATTACAAGTATTTTTTCCCGTTCTTATTAGAGTTTCAAATTTATTTAAATTTGTTATTAATTTAATTGATTTTATGTTTATCTTTTTATTAGCGATCAAATTACTTTTAAAAAGTAAATTTTGACCTCCTCTTAGCTTTAAATCTTACGCCCTTGAGGTTTAAAACTTAGCACAACTCCTTTGAACCTAATTTCAACGTGTCAAAGTTTGGCTAGAACCGACTTTAACCCTGCTGGTGTTACTAATAAAATAAATTAGTTTTATTAGTGCTTCTTTGGCTAAAAGTTGTTTTAAACCAAATTCGGAGCCCAAAGCGTATTACCGAATTAAAAAAAAAAATCTCCGCATTTTCTCCAACTTCAGCTAGTAAAATTCCTAACCTAAACCTTGAAAGGCCAACGAATTAAAGTAAATGTTTCCATTCAGAGGGGTGGGTATTTTTAAGAACGCAATAGGAATGGATCTTGAGGGGCACCTTGAACTACAACACACATGCTCTTGCTCATAAGGGAGCCCCATTACTATAGTATCCGCAATATCTCAGAAAATCAAGCTTCAACCTTGTAGCTCTATAAAAGAGGGGATAAAAAACTTTTAAGGTAGATAGATTTTATTAAAGTAAAAAAAGAAAGGCTGTTAAGAAGGGGAGCTTCTAGTTCCAAAACACAAGTTTGAAAGAAGAATACAGGCCACCTGTCGAGTTTTAATAAAATTTGTTAAAAAACTATAAAACACGAAAGATCATAACTTTGAGCTCTTCAGAAGACACTGTAAAGTAGTTAGTTAGTAGTGCCACCTTTTTACCTACTTTTAACTCTTTGCAATTTTGTTCAAACGACTGCAAGAAGGCAGCAATTAAATTTGCAATCACAATAAGTGTAGTCTCAATTTAAGTTAAATAAGTTAAATCCTTTTTATTGACAAATTTTTATATATTTACTTACAGATAACTGCCCCAATATAATATATAAAGAGACTCGAGTAATCTACTCCTTAAATATTAAAAATATAAAGTACTATAGTAGTTTAATGGAAAGCACTACGCGAAGTGGGGCAAAAACGTATAACACTACAAAATATTGCCAGAGTAGAAGACCAAAAATCAGTTCGCTTTTCATAAAAAGTCTCCAGCGTTTAGTAACGTTTCAAAGAAGTCTCCCTCCTCTACATTTTACGCGCCTGCTGATATTGTTTAGGTAATCCTAGAGTTAGCAATCTTTTTTAAGACGGTCTTCCTTCAGCGAACCCTATTTAGTTTCGTTTGATCACTTTGCTCTCTTGTTTTGGAAAGATTTATAAATTTGTTGTACTAAGTTAGCTAGCAAGATTTGTATGAATCGACTGATGGATATATTGATTCGAAAACCTATAGGTTAATTAACCTTGCGGAAGTAAAATCTTCGCGTTGAGTACTAGCACTGCCCTTAGAAGTGATCCTTTGTGTTTTGCCTATAGAGATCTGGTTGAACTAACACATTCACTATTAAATCGTTAACAAAATCAGCTAAGTCATGCAGGAAACTATTGTTTAGTAGCAAATAGGTGCTACCGAAAGCGTTTACAAGAAGCCCTCATTATGAGTAATGCTTACCTAGTACTACTGCTCCATTCCTGGGCTGCTAGTGGCAGTTGGATTCTGTCTGGCTGCCTCTGGTGCTTAACTGCACTGTTAGATAAGTGCTGTTATTATATAGCCCTAGGTACTAGACTATATATACTATGCGAGCAGCCCCTATGAAAGTAACAAGCCTGTACGCTATTAAAAATATTAATAAGTGCCGGGTAAACGTGGTTTCTGTATAGATCTTTGGGTGAAATAAAATTTTTATAATAGTTGCAAGCTCAATATTTATTGTGTAGAAGACTTAAAAAAGGTATTTTTGTTTACACTATTTATAAAAATCTAAAGGTTAAGAGGTCAAATATAGATATCCAATTTAACTTTTTTCTCGGTATAAAAGAGCTCGCTGGTTATGTAGGACATATTGTAGTATTAACGGGTAGAAGGGGAAGGAAAACCATGGATAAGTATATATTATATACTAGCCTCCTAAATTATCTTCAATGTGACTTTTGTTATAGGAATCACGTCCGTTTTCAATTTATAATCAGCTCTCTGTAATTTCATTAATTTTTATAAGCTAAAGATCTTTCTCAACTATTTTTTTACAATTTTATTTTTTAAGTAGCATTTCACTACAATTAGGGTCCTTGTCAAAATTTTAGTCCAGAAAAACCAGGCTAGTGTTTTTTCTTACTTGGAGCCTACAATTTACTTTTTACTTTATAGCTACTTATATTAAAACCGTGGGCTCCTGTTTATCTCTTCAGTTAAGCAAATTATTTTAGTCGAAATTATTAAAATCAGTTTGAAAAATTAGTGACTAGGTTAGCTTTATAACCTCTGCAGTATGCTCCCGTAAAATCTATAATTTTACGTTTAAATTTAAATTAGCTTAAATATATGTTTTTTGCTCTCCACAAATAATAAATAATGCTTTATTAACTTTCCTTCATATAAGGCTAAGTCTAAAACAAATATCCTTCTTTTATAAATTAGTTATTTTATGGGAACATTGCAATCCGAACTTATTTTAGTTAATTTTTTAGAAGCTTGCTTAGTATTGGTGTTTAAAAAATTAAGTACGTAGTTTGTTCGCTCATATAATTCTTCTGAATTTTGCAAAGTTAAACTTTTACAACTTAAAATTTCGGACAAATTCTGCGATAGATTGTCAACTGTGGTCCTAGCTTCCTCTAAGCTAAATTCAAAGTTGCCTTCTTTTAAAGTTGATATTAAATTTTGAAACTTCTTTATCAAACTCTCCATTTTTTTTATAACACGGCAAACCGTCTGGATATATTCTTTAACCCCTTCAGTTTTTCTGCTGATAATTTTTTTCTCCTTTAGTAACTCGCACTCAGTTCTCCTTCCTGTAAAAAATTAAATTTTCTTTGAGCATAATTCCAAGAAAAATAAAAGTTTATGGCCACGATAAGTTACTAAACGCCTTTTGGCTTTGAAAAATGGTAAGTCTATAGCTTTAAATACTTAAAGCTCTTGCTTTTTACTTTGTAAATCATGGAGGACAGAGTTACCTAAAAGTTATTTCACTGCAGCTTAAGTACTAACCAATGCGTAAGTTAAAGGAATTTATTTCGCCGTAATAGCATATATCATTTTACAGTTTAACGTTTAAATTTTAGTAAATAATAGATTGGTTATTTAAACTTATAATAAAAGTTTAGTACTTGAAAGCTGCAGCCGAGAAAGTTGGGTCATTCGATATTTCGCTGCGTAATACTTGACTTTTAGAAAGAGAACAGTGAAAACCATATTTTCTATAGTTTTAACTGTATTTAACTTAGTAACTTCCTCCATAGACTCTAAAAATATAAAATTAATCAATAACTGTGACGCTGCAAAGTACATACTAACTATTCACAAAGCTTTCACTAAAATTCTTAAGATATTCTTTCTTGAGCGTCAACGCAGGATATTCTCCCATTTCAATATAATAATAGGCCTTTCTAAAACTTTTTTCTTCTGTCATGGGTCTTCTGTTGATGTTAATAGTTATTAAAGTATCGCCCGCAGTCTTCAGATATGAAAAAAATTTATCCTCTATTGTTTCTATATTTAAGTCCTCTAAAATATATAAAAATGAACGGTCTTCTTTAAATTCACTTTGAAAAATTTCACTATATGTTGCAAATCTTTTTATATGAAATTCAGTTAAATGAAAAAAAAAATTCAAAGTTAGAGTTTTCTTACCTGAGTTTTTGCAACCATTTATCAGCAAAATATTTGTTACTGTTAACTTCCTTTATGTTAATTAAAATACAAATATACAAATTTATCATCTTTTTAATTACTGACGACACATTTTTTTTGTTTGTCTTATCACTAAAAAGACTTGTCATTCTTACCCAACGCTGAACTTTAGCTTCTCCATTAGTATATGGCAAGCTTAGTCTTTCCAAAGAGAGACAAAGAAGCTCGAGAACTTTTATTAAATGTTCACCTAAAATAGGCTCCAATTTTTCTTGCTTTTTTAAATTAAAGGCAACGTTTCCTCTTTCTATGTCATAACGCATCACGCTTGCCTTCCATTCGTATGAATTTCTATACCCGGTGTACGCATAGACACTTTCGATGTTCCCTGCGTCGTTTTTATAATCAAGTTCTTGTGTTTTATAAACAACAGCATTTACTTTAGACATAAATCTTATCACATCCGTGAACCGTTTATTTTTACGGCAAATCTTGAAATTATTATTTAGAACGTATTAATGAAGTAAAAATATAAGAATCCTACCCAATCTGAAGCCAGAGAATAAGTTAACAGTAAATTACGAACGCGTGTGTATTGAATGAGTAAGAAAACGCAATGTTTCTCCAAAAGCTTAATAAAAATGTGTGGTGAAACAAACTTCGTAGAGTGGTTGTCAACTCGAGTAAGCGTCATTAATAGTAAATTTTTAAGTACGTAAAAACTCTCCTGGTAATGATAATTTAAGCGGTCTAGAGGAAAGCTCCGCCTCACTAAAAATATTTCACGTATCTTAAACATTAGCTCCTCCGTTTTATCTATAAACAAATTGAAAACAGTTAATTTATATTAGTGTTTATATATATGGTTGCTGTAAAAAATGATAAGAATGTAAGTAAGCTGTGAAAGTACAAATGTTTCTTAGCCTGTCCCCTATTATAAACAACTGTTTCCTTAGAAATGTTTCATCGAACAACTCGGCTTGAAGCAGCCATGTGAGGAGAGTGTTTTCGTTAAAGTTGGATTTACTTAGATCTATAATTATAAAGTAACGTTGTCAGTCAGCCTCTCATTAACCACAATAACTAATATATATAAGAAACATTACAGTTGGTAATATAATATTCAAGTGGTGCCCGCATCTTTTCGTTTTGCCTTAATTCTACTACAAGGGCGGCGTTATCAAGACCCGAGGGGAAAAATCTTGGAAACAAAAAATTTTTAAGTTCAAGACAGTATTTTTTTTTCATGCCTTCCAGTTCACAGAGCTTCTCTTTTGAAATTAAAGGTTCTACTTTCATTAATTCCTCAAATAAGATTTGGAGCATGTCAGTAAGTTCGTGGAAACTATATTTTTGGCTTTATTAAGAGGATAGAGAAATTTTTTTGCAAGTTTTTTTTTTCAAATAAAAATTACCATTCTTTATTATCTTCCAGATTATTGTTTATGCATTCAATTACTTTATAGGAAACATCGAGGCTTAACTGCCTTAATAACCCCTCGGCCACCTCACAAAAGGTGTAATAATCAAAATATTTGATGAGACCAGAGGACAGTTTATCGCATGTCCCTAAAGGGTACAGAATTTTTAATATATGCTAACGATAGTTAGCTATATTTACCAACCCACAGAGTTTACTTTCTGGAATTGTTTTGACAAGGATGAGTCCATATCAGCAGAGATGGTAATGCAGGTGGAGATTACAGAATTCGATAATTGCATTCCAAAGTATTCTACTACATCCCTAAAAATTTCCAGGTTTCTGTTATCCAATGCCTGTGCCGACCGTTTTTCTTAAGTGACATAGGACGTCATGAAGAGAGGGAATATATGAAAAGCGACATAGAAGCTTACTTGGAACACAGCTTTGAATAAACTTCGATATGACCATCTGTAACTCGGTGTTATAACAGCTTAATTTCTTCCAGTTGTCACGACAACAATTAATAGCGTGCTGGGCTACATAAAGCTTTAAATACCAGGCACCAACTTCATTTTTAACCTCCTTGTATATATCATCGAGAAGACTTTGTTCTATATGTAACTAAAAATGTTAATATAGAATAACTAATCTTTATATGACACGGTATTTTCTAGAGATACCAAGGAATTATAAAACTTTAACTCTTTTAGTAAACATTGGCACTGGAAGTTTTTCTCCACTTTGACAGTTCTATTGGCTTTCTCTAAAGTCTCTATAGTATTACCATCGAACCTAATCACTTTGTTTTCCGCAATAACTATTATTATATAAAGAAGGCGATATAAGAAAGCTTATAAATTAACGGTAAGAATTACGTTTCCCAAGAAGTATTTTTAGTAAACCAAATTTTAAGTGTCTAGTTATTACAGCATACAAGGGCAAATTTGGCTCCTAAGTAGTCTGACGTGGCAACTCAGTGCCTCTTGATAGTTGTTTGCTTTAAGGTAGCATGCGGCTGCCTCTTCATAGGCAAACAACTTCAAGTAGGTCTCGGCCGACTCGGAATCATTGTCATTTTCTTTCTCTAATAGCAGTAATTCTTTAGGATAAGATTTTGATAGAAACTTTTTCATTTGCTCCAAATTTGGGAACAGACGAACAAAATACATCATAGAATCTTTATTATTTCTGTTCCGGTGATACACCGCCCCTGATTCAGATTGTAGTAGAAATGTAGATAATACCGCGGCAAAATTTGGTGTAGAAAGTCTTAAACACAACCTTTTTGAATACTTTCATTTTTAGCTTCTATGAGTTTAGTACAATAGAGGCTTTTATCTTTATTTTTTTGGATTGCTTCTTCAAGGAAAGTAACACCTTGATTGTAGCAATGTTATGTTATTATGCCTTATAAAGTTAGATACGTTATGTGTATTACAAAGTGGTTACCAAACTCAAACGAGGCTCCCTTTACTAAGCACTGTATTGCGCGTTGCACTTCTTCAGCTTTTATGTACAACTCGAAAGCGGAGTTAAAGTTTTTCATATGTTCGAGGCATTCGGCGGCCTCAGCCCATTTTTGACATACCTCATAGAAATTCGCAGCTAGCATTATAAGACGTGACAGGATATCGTACGAAGCTTAAAGGTAGGTACTGCAAACTCGCACAACCTTTCTGGTAACATCGGCCTTTTGAATAACACCTGGCTGCATCTTCATAATATTTGTTTTTTAAAGAAGAAAACAAGGAACCCGCGTCCATATAACACTTCTTCTCTTCATAGAGACTTAAATCTGACGTATCTGCTCTGAACTCTAAGCTCATGGCATTACAACGTGTAGCTAACTCCTTATTATTTGCCTTCGTAAAACAAATAAATGCGTTAGAGAACTGCTTTTTCTCTAAGAACAATTCTCCTTTTTTGGTCCATGTCTCGTTTGACGAACTTGTGTTAAGTAAAATGGAATATATTATTTACGACTTCAAAGATGTAATACCTTTTTATAAATAAAGACACAATATTGCTACTAAATCTTTGCGTACTTACGAGCTTTTCATGTTGTAAAAGCGCTATCATGGGCTGTCTAGCCTCCTCTCTTTCTTCAAAAATTACTAATTACAAATAAAATATTACCTGCCACCAACTTAAAAAGTTGCCCGATAACCTAATTTTTCTTTAGCGCGGGTAACCAGAACATAGAACATGGATAGTTCTCTAAACAATGAGGCGTGGCTATCCATATAGAACTTTGGAGGTCTCACTCCTAGAAAAAACAGAGGTAACGGCATTCAGTTACTATAAACTAAGTAACACACCGAGATCTCTAAAGTTATAAATCTGTCGCCATAATCCTTTTTCTTGGCAACTGGATAAAAAGTTGTAGACAAGACAATCATCAAATTCTAAGCCTGTATGTGTTATATATATTTCAATGCTTATGAACTACTACGAAAGGTGCCGGTTTGTACCTTTAGCCTCGCTTACGGTTAATACTAAAACCTCCTCATTACTTATGGCTCTTACCTTTTCTTTCATGGCCTCATCTCTTACCAAGATTGCCTGTTAGTTATACATTGTCGTTTTGGACGTCTGATAGGCTATTAGTGCACCAACTTGAGTATGTAAAACCTGTTCTGAGCCAAAGCTCACTAAAGATTCTTTACTAAAAAGTTCCTCAAGGATATCAGTTTTGTCCAGTAAAAAAACAGGCTGGGGACCTCATTTAGTAAAAAGTTTATTTTAAAACTTACGAAATAGCATCAATAATAATTATACCGCAACGCTCAAAATTTTCTTTTTCTTTGTCTCCAATAAAGTTTGGAAAAAACCGTACCATCATATCTATTAATATTGAAGAAACATTTCCGATACCTTTTATTAATAAAAAATCCTTAGGGGCCTTTTTAGACATATTTTTGAAAGTGTTTACCTCTATGCGTGCGAAAGTTTTGCAGAAGGGACAGTTGTTCAAAGTTTTTCTTGAACCCGAATTCATTATAAAATAAATCTTTGAGCTTCTCGAAACGGAATGAGCACCCGTGACAAACCTATATATAAAATAATTATAATACAAATTTGTATTTAACTAGAAGTGAAGTTCTCAAAGTTTTTACAAGAAAATAAGTAATACAAAATTTACAATTAGAACATTTATAAGGTATACAGTTTGAGCGGTGTCCCCAGCAAATATAAATTGAGTTGAGTTAGTTGAAATATAGCGTAATAGATAGAGCTGTGCGGGGCTTAAATCCTGCACCTCATCGACGTATATGAAATCCACTTGTCGGCCTTATTAAAGATACGAGCGCTGCGTAACTAAATTTAACCCAAATCCAGGTGAACCAAGAGCAACCTTTATAAATGCCACTTTCAACTTCCCTTTTTACTGCTTTGTATATAATAAAAACCTAACATAATATTTTATAATAAAAAGTACTGCTATTCTAAAGAATAATATCGGTTAAATATTGTTTAAAGGTTATGAGCAATCCTTCTTCCTATTAAAAACTTATGTTAGTTCACTGCAACATGTACTGAACTTTAATATTATGATGAACTATCTCCACACACCAAATTTGCATGTATGGATACGAAATATATACGTATACGCGTTTACTCTGTCGGCTGTGTCTTCAAAATTTTTAGTATTTTTCCAAAACTGATACTTTCTAAACTCCTTGTATATACACAACCTCCAGTGTTCATTTTAAGTCATTAAAACAATTATAATACCAAAACATTAACTGTAACCTTTTAGAAACATCGAATATAGAAGAACGTTGATTAGCAATTTTGAGGTAATCCTCTACTTTTATATAGCCATTGTCTGACATGATAGATTGCACGCTCCCTGTTGCATGATTGGGTTGTATCAGCAATACAGCGAAATGTAGTTAACGAACCTTTAATGAAGGCCATTATTTCTGTGTATAGCAACGCACATGAAATGTTCAAAGATGTATCCACACGAGGGAAAAAGCCAAATTGAAATATATTGTAGTCAACTTTAACTAAAGGATTCTTCGGAAACTTGAACATTATAATTTATATATCTCTTTTTCTCTATTATTAGTGAAAGAAACTTACAGGAAAAGAAAGGCTTTGATTAATTAAATTTAGAAAATTGTCGTAAGTTGTTATAACTGGGAAAGCGTCGTCTTCACAGCTAATGAAATCACGCAATTCCAATTTACTTTCAGATGGATTAGGTAACTGGACTATTTAAATTAGTCAAATAGATAATTGGTAATATAAGTTCTATTTAGAGTCTTGGAAACTTTGTTCAATATTCATCATAGTTTTCAGTAGCGCTGAGTATTCTTCTTTAACGGACTTACATAACATAGGGCTAAGATAAGTACAATTAGCTACACGAATAACATTTAAAAAGAGTTTGTTTATAAAAGTTTCGTTACCTAGAGATTTACAGTTAACCAAATATATATTTACAAAAGGAAAAAGGAATATTTTAAAAGAAGGAAAGTATAACATAGTATAACTAGAAATAATAACACAGTTTTAATAAAATAATTTATATCTGGGTACTACTACACTTAATGAAGTAAGTATAATAATAGCTTTCTTAAAATAAAAGTATATTTATTTTACCAACTTAATGTAGTAGTGATTGTTAAACTTACTTTACTGTTATTAAAAGCTGATGGCCCTTTTTTTCTTCAAACTTATCTTCGTACTCGTTAAGTTTGCTTTAGTTGAAGAGACTTTTATAGTTATATACTGTACATAAACAAAGTTAAAACCTCAATACTGTTTGGCTCCAGATCTCGTAATATAGCAACCGATAGAGCATGGCAGTAGTTTTTCCTGTACCTATAAGGTTATTCGAATATTGATAAAATCCAATTTACTTAATAAATTTAATTATGTTATAGCAAACCGCTTCTTCCCATTATCAGTAAATTATGTTTACATTCCACAATTTTTTTTTCGTCATTGCTAAGGGAAAGAGGAAGAGCTTGGGACGCAAAACCTTTGTGGTCCCTCCATAAAAAGTTGACAAGCTTGTCGTCTAGGTCGTACAACTTGGGCAAGAGAACTTCTGTTCCCTCGAGCATCACTTATACGTAAGATTAGAAAGTTGAGTCTGTACGCCATCTTTTCAACATCGGTTACCATTTTCTTCTTTCTTTTTAAACCAAACAAAACTCTCATCTTTTGCCCATTCCAATGGACAAGTCATGCCACCTGCATCATCTCTTTCTTTACATCTCTTAATATACTCATCAGTATAAAGCAATAAATCTATAAAAAAAAGAACAAATCTATATTCGTAAAAGTAATATAATTAAAGTACTATTTTCAACGTTTTTTATTGCTCTTTCAAAATCATTGTTTTCTACCAGGTCCCAGGTAATTAATATTTGTTTACAACGGCTGGAACCTGCAAGCAAACATCACTATTAATATAGTACAGCTATTTGTTTAGTAAGCAAAACACCTCGATGCACATCAACAGTTATTATTAGAAAAGCGTTTAGGATTTTAGAGATAACGAATACCCCTTCAAACATCAAACCTATCCGTTCTGTCATTTTTAAGGGATGGCGCGGCCATTTTCCTTAATAGATAGAAATAAACTGTGAAGCCTAAAATTTATATAAACAACAACCTTGAGAAAATCTTATTAATTGTCCTAATAAAAACTTTAAACTTTTTTTTATGTGAATTTTTTCGATTTTTTTTTTAAAAACATGAGAAAATTTTACTTCCCATATTTTCCCCATTGACAATTTTTCTATATCTAATAGCAAAGTTTTACAACGTACCCATGAAAAGGAATCTAATTAAACCTTCAACTTTCTTTGTCTCTATCAATTCGTTGATCAACAATTTCTCCAAAGACACTTCATCTCCTTTATTGTAGATAGCTCCATGTTCTAATACGTACCCTAAAAAACTTTTCCAAAGTTCTATAGGCATTAGTGTATAAGATAGAAAGAACTTTAAACTAATGAAAGTTAAGTTTCACCATTATTCGAGAGAGTTCTCTGATTACACACAACTACCATCATATATTTACTTCTTGTTATAGCCACATTGAGCCTTCGGGCGTCATCTAGAAAGCCTATTGATCCACTGGTGTTAGAACGAACCTTTTCATTAAGTAGCAGGTAAAGTTCGGCCTAGAAACCTACGAGTATTAGATAATCAACTTACTGTACTGAGAATCACAAGGTCAAACTCCTGGCCTTGAAACCCGTCTACTGTGCTAACTTGGACTAATGGATAAGCATTGGACACGCTTGGAGAGATGCACCTCTTAACATTATCTAGGTCTAGCATCCGCTTAACCTGCTCTTTGTAAGGCGAAATCACACCAATCGATTGTAGGTCGCGTCCTTCTCATTGAAATTGAAATTAATGTTATATAAATCTAATTCTTTCGCAGAAAAATATTTTACTCTCTCGCTTAAACTTGGATATTAGTTCCCTAATTATAAGTTCTTCGCCTTCATTATAATAACCACGTTCAGTTTTTTTTTCATGATTACTTAGTGGAACATCATAAATAGTTAGTACATCTGATATTTTACAATACATCCCCGACTGAACGTTGTCTCCATCTGTTTTGTGACCTTCATATTATAAAGAAACGCATGTTACCTTTATAAATCTTACTTATGAGTAACCCCTCATAAAACGTTTTGGCTGGCCACATGCTTATTAGTGGATGCATTCGATATTGTACATCCAATAGTAGGTAAGGATATTCGAGCTTAAGTAACCTCTGAAACAGACTGTTATTGTATCCTAATTTAAGTAGCCTCCGTGATAAGACGACAGGTGGAAGTTGCTTTTCATCACCTATTGTTTATAGCTTCGTTATTAAACTAATCCATATTTATTTTAAAGACGGACCTACTAAAACAAGACATTTTAATTTGTTAAAGGCAAACACTAAAGCCATATCTGCTTCTTGTACTTGACTCGCTTCGTCAATAATAGCTATAGTAAACACCTGGCTCTTGAAACTCTTGCGTCCTTAATTTTGACCCACGGCTATATTATTAATAATCAAGTTAATATATTACAAGTCTACCTGCCACGGCAAGAGTTAAAAAAACAATATTTGCCTCGTTTAGCACTTCATTACTAGTAACAAAGCCTTTTTTAACTTCAATTTTTCGCAAAATGTTATTCAACAAAAGAAGCTGATTTCCGTAAAAAATTTTTTTTTTTGAAAAGTCAAGTTTTATAGTAGTAAAAAATTCTATTGTTTTCTCTATATAGTCAATTGACACATCTTTATTTTTAAAAGTAGACGTAAAAGAGTGTTGAGGCAGTTCGTTGAAAATAGTTTGCAGCGCTTGAAAAGCAACGGTCAATTCGATGTAGAATTAAAAGAAGTATTATAAGGATTAACCTTCTATTAAAGTCACGAAAAATACTCTAAGACAGCTCTCCCAGTATGTTTTAAAAGAATCAAAGCTCTTTGAGTTAAAAGTTCTTATCAGAAAACTTAAAGCTAAAGGCGGTATGTTTGCCGTACTATCACCTGTAACACAAATTTTAATACTTAGTTATATGATGCTACACCAAAAAAACATGCTTAAAAGTATTTATTTAACGCGCAACAATTAAAATAACTATTTTACTTAAGCCATTCACTTCCACAGTTTTGGGAAACGCCCAATTATTAAAAAAAAAAAAAAAAAGTTATACAACCTCAAAGGGGTACTTCTAAATTCTATAAAATAAAGCAGGAACATGCCCGTAAATATTTTTGGTACCTGTTAAACCTTACATCTTATAGTCACTAAGCATCTTGAGAGTATAATTTTCAAAAAAATAACACAAAGTTAAAAGATTTCTAATTTTTTGCAGTAAGTCTCATAGTTCTCTCGTAATTTTACTTAATAATTAATTTAGAATATAATACTAGATAAAGACCTTTTTAAAAACATTAAAAAAAAAATAGTTTTTATAATGCTCTTCTTGTAGGATGAAATTAACTCTAGCACCCAATACCGGCTCCTTCCCTCAAAAAATTTGAAAGGAGAATTCCAGTTTACCATTTACCTCTACCCCCTGCCAATTATTGGTATAACACCTTTTGCAATACTATAACCGCTACCGGCGTTGACCTAAACTTACTTTCGATACCACCATGTGTTATATTTTACTCAGCTAGGGAAGAGGAATATAGTGAAATACGTGTTTAATATATACGAGGTATTAAAAGTCAAAATTACAGGGGCTAATAATAAACAATAACAATAACTATAAGTCACCTCAGGTGAATACTAACCTTGGATATCATCATCACTATTCTCACTTAAATCTTTTAATAAGTAGTAAATTTTCTTTAACCTTTCTCTGTTTACAACTTCCGGGCCTAACTCAACTGCCTCCCTAATATTTAGTAATGCCTTATTTAATCGTTCAAGTCTTTCCTTAATGTACACACGTTCAATCCCTAAAATAACATTAAAAATTTGTGTCATTCTGAAATAATTATTATACTACAAGGCATAGTGTCAAGTCTTTTTTCGTTTCCAACTATTAAAATATTTGATATCCGAAACCAACGCTCAGAGCAGTCGTCGAAAGTCAACAAAGTTTTCTTAACCAGCTCAGTTACGGCATACAAACTTGGTGCCGCGACTAAAATCCTTTCCGACTTTAAGTATAATAAACACTTCAGCAATGTAGAAATGGTAGCCGTCTAAACAACATGCTCGCTAGATTAGAGTATTTAATAGTAGCTAAGCGTACTTTTCCTGTCCCCGGAGGTCCTTTGACAAGTTGTACTTGTAATTTATTAGCTTTACCTTGTACCAACTCCAATACATTCAGTATCAAATTCCTAATTTGTAATTTAAATTTTTTATTAGTGTATAAATCCAAAAAAATAATGCTTTACCTTTGAGAAGGATTTAGGTGGTTATAATATGGTATACAATCTGTTGTCCGAATGTCAGTTAAGTCCTTTGCAGTATGGTAAATTCTTTCTCCTTTAAGCAATGCATTTATAAATTTTAAAGGCATGGCGCTTTCCATGGACCGAAAAATTCTTAATGACACCATAATAGAGATTTCGAAATATATAAACTTTAAAAATGTATTTTCTAAAGGATTAAAATTTTTGTAAATATCTGGGTCAACGGTTATTGAAGTTAATATATTTTCTTGTTCTTCAAAAATTTCATTTATGTAACCAAAAATATGATCTGGTCTTCCTATTAAATTTTATTGCAAGGTTAATCAGCTTGTTTTAAAATTAAGTTAGAAAAAAAGGTTTGTCACGGTAATAAAAAGAACAAGAATTTGGCGGTATTTAACTTTGCAAGACCAATAATTATTAAATATTAGCCCTTACGGTAGACTGAGTCTCTGGTTTTAACCTTAAACCCATCTAGTCGCTTTAAACATCACTAACGAAACTGTAAGTAAACTATTGTAAATTTATCGTACCAGAATCACAAGAAAGGTCTTTGTTATCTATTTTTTTAATGACCACTATACTGTTTTTTAGTAGCTCAAACCGAAGAGTGGGATCTGTTTAATTGAAAATTGTGAGAGTGCAGTTTTGATAGCCTCAGAAAAATTAATTTAAAAAAAAATAAAAAAATCTGATGAGTACCTTTCCTATTGATTGATACTGATATTGTCGACTTATTAGCTACTTTCTTTTTTTCACGCTGAAAGTTGTTGGTAATTAAAGAATAGCACATCTCCTCTTTATAGTTCCAACACATGCTTAATTGCGTTCTCAACTCTTCAAAAAGGTACAGGCGCAATAATTCCTTCCAACTTCTGTAGGACTCAAATCGAAGTGGAAAGCTTCGTAAAAAGTGTAAAATATAGTTAACAAAAAAAAATCATGACATTAATTAAATGCTAGGAGCCCTAACCCTTAACCCTAACCCTATCCATGAGTCAGACACCAAACATTATTGCTATAATAATTAAGTCAGATTTAAATTAATCTTTGAGGCTCTTTAGACTTCCCTCCCCCCTTCTGCTTTTTTGCTCTCTTATAATGCAGTGATTACATAATATGCAAGTTTTTATATAATAAAGCAAAAGTGAAGACGGAAGCATGTTAACCTTGGCCCTTTGGCTTCTTACTTTTATTAAATAGTACAAAATGGAAGTACCTTTTCAAGTCTTTCAAAAAATAGTCCTGGTTTAAAACTTTACATAGGTTTAGCGTCAAAATATAGGCTTTTAAGTGCTTCGCCCAAGACAAAAATTCTGATGATTGCTTTCCTTGTATACTTAATGATTTTAAATCTAATAAAAAACATCGGAAATAATTAAGTAAAATCAACATTTCAAGTAGTATATTATAGGAAGATTGGACTTTATAAACGTGAAAGAGTTGATCTGTTGAATGACAAAAAAATAGTACCGGTAGACGACTCGAAACTCGACATCCCTTAACAGATTAAGCCAAAGCCACTAACAGCGAAGGGTAAAGAAGGTTGCAACCTTTTATAACACCATTAAATTTAAGATTCGGTAAATTTTCTTTTTAGATGTAAGATATTACACCATTCTTTACAAAATTTATTGGTAGATAATAAAATGCTAAATTGTTTTGTGTAATACAATGTCTTCTCCTTTACTTTATTCGTTTGTTGCAGACCTAAAGATGTAACACAGTTAGTTGAAGAATATTGAATCTAGGGATTTAATCTTTAAAATCTACGGTATAACCAGTTAAAAGTGTTTAAATAAAAATTGGTATTTTAGTCTTTTTAATTTAAAGTTATTTGTTAGATTTTTTTTAAAAATATGTTTTAAGGCTAAAACGTTTTACAATTATTTAACGTTTGCTCTTAAAAACACTAAGTAGTTAAAGGGCAAGTAGAATTTGTAAACTGTTTTCACAAAACATAGTTAGATACTTAAATCAATTTTTTTCTAACTTTCTGATAATATGGCGACTTAACAAGCTATATTACAGTGCACTAATGATTTAAAGGGTATTATTAGTATACAAGTATTTTATAATTAGCCCCATATATTATAGTTTTTTTTATTGGTATATACTGCTCGGAGCCTAAAAAGTAATTTCAATATTTACGCTACTCTATTTAACAGTATAGTAACCAATAATAAACGAATGGCTCGCTAAGGTACTGAAATATTAACGAAGTTTCTTAAGTAAACTTTTTAAGCTTATACATAAAAGCCTTGAACCCAATTAAATTACTAGTATGCCTAAAGCAAATTTTCTATTATTTTATAAAATAAAGTATTAGACAATGTTTACATATGTATAGCCGTCATTGCAATAACAAACTCTGAAAACTAGTTGCTGTCTTTTGTAGCCGTTTATGAACTTATTGGTCTAAAAAAGCGTTAAGCTGTCTTCAGTCCACTTTAAAGTATTTATGATTGGCTAGAAGCAACATACTATCCCCTTAAAAAAATCCTTTAAATTGGTTAAATATTATCCCTCTCCCACAACGTTAAAATTTAACATAGTATATATTGCTAGAACTCTTATGTTAATATGAAGGTTAAAAAATATATATACAATTAAAGCTTTTGAAAAATAGAATGAAAAAAAATAGTTAAGTGAGAAGATTTAGGACTAGTAACTTTGTTTATTAGCAATTAGCAATTATAAATACACTTTTTGCACAGAACTTTGAGCTAGTATTACAATGTAAGTCAATCAATATATATCTCTTCCTGTTCTTCCTTACTTCAACAGTATTGGTATAGATACTATAGCTAAAATATATGCACGCTTTATTAAAGTCTTATATTTATTTTGTTACCTCACTGCCGTTTCAATTTCTTTTTTAATTTAGTACCGAATATACTTAAGTTCGCTTGATTTCTGAGTGTTTAATTTACTTGTGTTGAACAAACTTTTTTAAAAAAAAAAAGCATTTGATTATGTACTTAACGTGAGAAATAAGCCCATGAGAACACAAAACACTATTTGGTTTGATAAAAAGGATGGCAGGTACACATTACTTTCTTCTCTTCGTTTTGTTTGTGTATCATAGGTGGTACGAGTTATGCTCCTCAGGAAACTCAAAAATTATTAAATAAATTGTTACTGAGTTATACCTCATTGGTTATATTTAATATAACATTTTTGAAAACAAAAAGCTTGTGAAATCGATAATTAAAAAAATGTTATTTTAAAAATAATTTTTGGGACAACTATTAAGTTCAATGCGTTTAATATAAGATCAAGGTTTCTTTGTTTTACGTTTAATATTTTTCCCAAGGGATTTTATTATGCCTAAGTTAATTTTTTGTGTTTTTATGGTGCTCATTTTTATTAGTATAGCTTTTAGGTTAAACAAATTTAAAATAAAAAAAAGAGTAGTAAGAGCTTATTTAAAAAAAAAAAAAGTCCTACAGATATATATATAAAACAAACAGAAGATTATACTTACACAGTTAGTAGATAACCTACCTTTGATTTAGTTAACCACTGAAGCCGACAAGTTCTTTATAGACTGGCAGCTCTTATTCAATAAGATTGATATTTGAATCTTTGCCTTTATGTATGCCACTGATGCGATTTCATCCATACGGAAAAACTATTAGACAGTTACTAATGGAGTATTATTAAACTTATTCAACAGTAAAAAAAAAGCAAGTATCCCGAATTACTACTAACGCCGGCAGAAACAGGAAGGAATCAACTGGGGTTCAAACAAACTGAGCGGCGTGCCCTCTCCTTCGTCTCTCTTCACACCACTGCCACTATCCACTTTTAAGTAGCCCACAGTAGGATCCTACTAATTTACAAGTTTTATATGTGGGTCGTTGTCCTTTTTAAAAACATTTTTTAATGCCTAGTTTTCTAAAAACAGCCTCTGTGCGGTTTTTTTAAAAATCTCTACTTGTGTTGATCTTAGACCTCGGTCGCGTAGTGTAATATATACTAACGTCTACACCTTTGTAGTAGAAGGAGGAAAGAAGGAAAAACAGGTTTACTGAATTGCTTTCCGCCTACACCCGTATAACAAAAGTGATGTAGAAGACGCGGTATACAAGATTCGTGCTCTAATCTTGAAAACCAATAAATTTTGAGACCTGGTTTTTATTAGCTGTCATTGGCTATAATTGTCACGAGATGCGCCCAAATACCTCCAGACATACTGCATCTTATAACTATGCTCTAGTAATACGTGGTTTTAAAATTGACTATAATGAAGTATTTACATTCTCCTAATGGCAAGTTTTACTTTTAACAATCAATTGGACAAAGATGTTAGATGCATGAAAAAATTAAATTTAGCTCTTACTAGATTTTGTCTTCTTAATGTTGTATTTTTGAATAGTAAACGAAAAGACACTTCAAATAAAGCTGGAGAATAAATTCTAATGTAATCAGTACCAACTAATTATTAATGACCTCTTGCTCTTAGTCTCGCCTTATACTGATTGTTAATTTTCTTTCTGTGAAGTATCCTAGTTGTAAATAAAATTTTTCTATTTAGAGGAACTTGGTCAGTAGCAGTACTCTAAAATCCTTTTTCTTGTATAGTGAAGTAAGTTCAGCCATGGCGGCGCCCGTATATTGTGCTTTTTTTTCTAAATTTTTTGCTTCATTTAAAGTAGATAGGTTATTGCCAAGTTATCCTCTTAGTCTTCTTAATATTATCTATGTCCTCATCAAAAGTAGCCCTAAAATTTTTTTTATTAGCGTCAGAAAAACGTTTACAAAATAACTTGAGCTAATGCTGCTCAATAAGTAATCAGAAATCATCGTCTTTTCAACCGTGACTATGGTACCCTCCTGTGCAATATAAAGGTCGAGAGTTTGGCATTAGTTTGGAGAGCCCTACATGATGCCTGCAATATGCCTCCCCGGATCGAAAGCTTTCCTCTAAAAACTGGTGAAATGCGTCGGTTTTCTAGAGCCTTTGGGCAGGTTTTATCTTACTAGTAATCATGTAGTCAAGCAAGATTACTGTCAACATTCCTTGGACTTGTTCCTTTGGGTATCTGGGCTAGCAGATAAACTTTAGTGGCTAAAAAAATTATAAAGTAACACACACAGAGCTCACACTCTTTAACTTTTATTCGAAAGCCCCTAGTTGAGTATTAGCAACTCCTTTCAAAGCGAACTATTCTTATACGACGCCTAGGGAGATCATGGGAAACCGTTGGTGAAATTTCGGTGCATACATGCTTAGTTATGTTGGGCACTACTGTTCATCCGAGTGAGTAGTTACGGACGAAAGCCATGACAGAAAGAACTTCATAATGAGCGATGAAAGTTAGCATCCTTGTTAGATTCAGAACGACTGATAATACTGCAAAATTTAATTGGTACTGATGCTTTGCTATTCGGGGCGCCTTGATCGATGCAATGAGTAAGTGTAGTGTCTAAAGAGTGCTAGCTACTTGTACTATATATATAATCGGCGCTTTGAGGTTCAGACTTTCAGGTGTCGTCTAGAGTAGTTACGATATTTACAGCATTAGGGCGGGGCTTCTTTCTAGATCAATTGTTTTTAGAATGGACTTAATTTTCGGCTTTAGGTATAATTTTTTTTGGTTAAATTTGACTTATTGATAATAGAAAGAAATTCATTTGAAGCTGTGATTGTATAAGAGTTTTATGACGAGAAAAAAAAGGATCTGAAAGGGTTATGGTATTGTCTTTATTTGTTTTAAGATCTATGCTTTTTCTTGTAGGAAATATGATGGACATCTTTAAAGTTGGGTTTAGAGGAGAGGTTTTATGTTTTGTGTTTCTGCGAATGTGATTTCTTTTATTTTTGCTATTATCTACTAATATTCAAATACCCTTTAAATTTTTTTGGCCTAGTCTCAAAATCATAAACATTACTAATATATGTTGGTAATGGGTAAGAGTATGATATACTAACAAGATAAGTGGTTTTTTTTTATTCAATACTGTAAGTTCAGAGTCAATTGTTTTTGTATGGAAATGTGGCTCATAACAGATGCTATTTCTCGACCGAATTATTTTCTTAGTACTATAGTTTAAAATGCTATATTTCTAATCAGTTAAATCTGTGGGTTAAGATAGTAGGATTCCCTCCGTTGCTCTATCTTTGAGATTTCGTTTTTGGGCTCGGAATTATACAAATAAACTTTGCAACCCAGGTACCTATATCTCTGAAGTCAGTAATTTAAGATCATATAACTCTGTAAGTTTAAGAGTATTATTGTTTTTAAAATGTTGTAATATTGAAAATTGAATCCCTGAATACTTCACTCTTATATTTGAAAGGTAAACTTGATTGCTTTAAGAGGCATTAGGTTATATTGCTGAAGTCTGTATCCTACGTTCACTTAGCATATAATACAATGTATTCTTAAGAACGGTTATAAATAGGCTTCCTTCACATTTTAAATCACTTTTTAGTATGTCACTTACGTATTCACTACCTGTAGCAGTTCTTATTTCCCCGTTTATGCAAACAGTGAAAGTTGTATTATTTAGTTTCCTGTTTTTAATATACTCGTTGTGGTATTTTAGCCAGTTCAATAACTTATATTTTATATCTTCTTTTGCCTTTAGAGAATTAGGCAACCACACGTTTACCCTTTCCATTAGTACCAATGACTATGTATTGAAAACCATTAGAATCTATACCTATTAAAAGGTATCAACGTAGAGTATAGACCAGATTTACCAAGGTGATTTGTTTGACTTATTTAACTGACTTTCTCTCTTTTCATTTTACATTTTGTGCATAATTTACAGTTATCAGTAGTTTAAGATTTTACGAATGATATTTTTGAATTTAAAACTTATGTGTCCATATATGTAATGTTCTTCAGGTATTTGGTTATTCTCTTCGAAATGCAATACTGTTCTATTATATGACTTAACTTGTGTTTAGCTACATATTCTGTTTCTATAAAAGCCATGGGCAACGAGTGTCTTATTCTTTTTAAAATTACTAATTACTCTCCAAATTTGGTGGTATATCCGTGTTTGTCTAATTTTTCCCGTTGTAATTAAGTTGTATCTGAAACTTCGGTTAAATTGACTTACCTTTATGGCCAGCTTGAGGAGAGTTTGTATTCTCGTTTATCACATATGATATCAAATTTTCTTCTTTTATATTACTAATAAGTAATTTTTTAATCTTAATAAACTGTGGATGGGCTGCGGAGTCGATAACTAAATTGTAACCTTGTTCTTCTATGGTACATACCTTTTCGATATGACCAAATTTATTACAAAAGGTGCCTTTGCTATTATTATAAGAGCAGTGTTTCCTTTCATAATTTTCCCATGCCCATGTAGGTGTAACAAATATTTTTTTAAAACTGCGCTGTTTTATTCAAAGGTTTGCAAAATTTTAACTTTGTTGTAAACAATATAGTATTATGGATTTCTCACCTATATGTTTTCTTGCTTCTAATTGTAGGAAAAAAAAAATTAAGAACGTAGTTGTAATTTGAGGGTTCATAGTTAATGAAAAGTTGCTCCAAGAATTGTTCCCGAACTTATATATATGAGCAATAGTTTGGTAAATAGGTATTATTTTATATATGTGGGATGTTAAATCGGGGATAGTACACTGCTCTTGTATTTGCAAACCAAGGAATTAAGTCTGTTGGAAGATTGTTGTAAAGATTCGTTTCTTTTTAAAGTTGTGAGCAATTCATGCACAAACAACATTAAAGTAGTTAAAGATTTCCGTTCAAAAACATTTTTTTTATATATTCTGTTGCTTCTTCTGGGTGCAATATATCCTGATGTAAACTGTTCATTACTATTTGTACCCCAAAAGCTGTTTTAACAAATTTTCATGGGATTGAAGCTCGAGTTTTCTTGTAAACCTTAGCGAGTTAAGGAAGTTATAATATCAATAATTTATTGTCGCAATTGAGTAGGTTTCTATAAAAGTTGAGAATGCCAGCAGTATATGGCGTGGTGTGTTTAAAAATTTGAAGTTAGCATTATTGTTATGTAACAACGAAGCTAATAGTTCGCGCTTATAACGTATTAGAATTAAAGAGAAAATATAGAAATATAAGACCAAATATAAAAACATGTATATATAAAATAAAGAATCAATAACAAAGAAATAATTCAAAAACAAAACAAAGAGACAGATAAATTTGATTAACCTATGCACTCCTTTATTTTTTTAAGTTTAAAGTATCATTAAATTATCTAAAATAAATCACTGTTACTTAGATACCAAGTAAATACTTTATAATAAAATGCATTAAATTTTTGAGGTTCAAAATCTTGTTATGGAATGCGCGTTGAGCTCTTACCTTTTTTTGTTGTTGTTAGTGTTAGTCAGGTGGCAGACGTTGTGCTTTTCAGGCGGCTCGTCAAATATATTATTACACCTCTATAATTTTAACTAATTTTATATTATATTTCTTAATATTATAATATATCATATACATTACTCATTTGACTACAATACATTAGTTCTCTAAGTCTTTAAGATTAACAGCTGAAGAAAATATGAAGTTTTATCGGTCTAAGTTGCGTATGTAGTTTATTTGTGACTAATCCTGACTAAGGGCTCGAGTATCCGAAGTCGCAGATTCGGTTCAAGCGACAGGTAAAGTCATTTACTAATGAATATACATGTAAAATAAGCCCCACGCTCCGCCCTTGCGTTTGAAGTAAATTCAGTGTTAAGCGTTATACAAGTTGCTGCCTTTTCTTAGCATTTTAGTCAATTACTATATTAATTTTTTATATATTTTTGTTAAGTTTTTATAATATGAAAGTGAACTAATTCACTAGGGATTTTCAGCGAAGAGTGGTATAAAACGCCATATAGAATAAAAAACAAGTCTGGTATCGGTGAGGCCATAACCTTGAATTCTTTCTTGCCGTGGGTTTACTTTTAAAAATTTTTCACTTTGATATTTACCTTTCCTAGAACATTTTTATTTTTGTAGAATGCTTGAAATTGAACTAGACTTTCAATTTGTTTTTTTTAGCATTTTTATTAGGTTTTAGTATGGATGTGGGCTTATAAGGTAGCTATAAGTCTGAAGGATATGTCTAAATGTGTTTTTATTGAAATCTATATACTGCAGTACTTGTTATATAAACGTATATACCATTAGTTCTCATAAAATTTCCTATAAAATTTGGACAAGCTATAAATAACCTATACGCAGCTTTATAGTAAGTGTAAAAAGAATTGAGCGTGTGATATCGACTAGTAAATAATTAGGTTTTCTCTATTGGAAGGGCAATAATCCTTAAGAACGAACTTTTATTTGTCGCTTTTAAGTATATAGAAGATTCTTTCTAAACTATATTTATCGAATTTTGGGTTAATATCCATGATATATAGTTTTTACTTATTTGATGTTGGAAGTTATCACTATAATGTTTAATGAGTATAATGCTTGTAAATTTTTGAAATGGTATATCATATGACAATAAGAGGATATTAAACGCAGTAAGTAATAGCTAAACAACTAAATACTAAATAAGAAAGGCAGAGGACTGATAAAACTCTTAAAAAAAAAAGTAGCATCCTATTGGTCAAACTAACAAAATTTCAAACTTTCCTTAGCAAGGCTTGCTGCAGAGAAAACGTATTATATAAGCAAAGTTATAATAGCCGCTCCGTTCTATTTTATAATTTTATAAGCTGTAAAGGTTTCTAACCCATTTTTTTGAGTTTAGTGAGTCATCTTCTTTCTTCCACTATTTTGGCGGAATAGAGAAAGTTTTTCTTTGCGACTTTAGCTACTATTCTGCAGAAGCAAAATTTTCGGCTTTTCAGTTCCCTATACCCCTTAGAAGACGACTTGACTTTTGCCACATATCCATTTTTTTTTCTGTTCGTTTCATTTCTGGCCTAGGTTTCAGTACCCTACAACCTAAAAAAATAGTACTCTTTTCTTATTATTAATAATTTGACCCAACGCCCAATAAGAACGAGCTAAAACTGCCAACTTAGATTATACTGCTTAATTCTTATTCAGTTTCTGCAAGTCTCTCATCACTTTATATAAACTTATGCATATATATATGGTAGAGGTCAACAAACAGTCAAAGCGCTTAGGACTCGTAGGTAAGTTCTTAAACTCACCTATGGTTTATATTCCTACTAACACGTTCTAAAGAAATAGTAGTTGCATAATCGTACAAAGAGAAGTAGTTTTGAGATCGTCGTAGCACGTCTCATTTCCCAGGAAGTAGGGCTCTCCGGTTATTAGTCGCGGAAGATAGTTTCGTTGAGTCTTCAGGAGTATTGGTTTTTATGTCCAAGCAACATATGCGTTGACCATAATAAGCTGCACGCACGCTTAATAAAGCACTGCCACCTAATCGAAATGTTTTTAAATGACTTAAATGTTAAATTCAAGCTAATTCTTAAAACTGGAGTTATAACCGCAAACTAAAACCCTCTTTGAAAGACATCCTAAAATGTATAAGAAACTTCGCTGAATAGCACACTGTCGAGCAGCAAGTAAGTACGTCCTGAAACTACCGAGGCAAGAAAAATTTATGAGTGATGATCCTAATGCTATTGCTCCATTCTAAACTGGTAGTATGGTATCCTATAAATTATAACACGAAACCACGCTAGTGTCAGAAGCTTCATTATGTAGTAGTAGGAAAGTATTGCTATGGATAAAGCTGTTGCAAATAGTGTTAGTACCTAGTGTATATTTATATGGCGCGGCTCCCGTACCTGCTGACCCCATTAGATAAATCTGGTGCTTTTTTGATTAACAGATTGATAGTTTTTAAAACTAGGATATCATAAGAAATACACATATAATATAGCAAAATCGAAGGACTAAAACTAAATTATGAATTTTATTGACAGTTTTAGCTCTCCGAAGAACTTTGCCACTCCAAACTAAAAGCGAGTGAGGACAATACAAAAAAAATCTGGCCAACGCGTGTGAACTCATAATTCTTAAAATTCACGGTCGAGTAACCTTCACATTTCATACACCCTAAAATAGTGTATCATATTAATCCTATACAAAAAAATAGTTAAGCCTCATTAGCTGGAGTTACTAAAACGATGCTACTTGAACAGCGGTTCCGTGCACTATATTTAATTTCTTCGGGTAATTTCGAGAAACCTGAGCCTATCATTCTGAATTTTCTGTCAATGAGGTTGTCCGAATTTTAAACTTAAATTTTAGTTTCCTTTAGTGTTAAAGCACAAGAAATGTGTTTATGCTAGCGCTTTGTTATATGCTACCAAATAATTGATTAAAGTTTGTTACAGAACCTATGTCACATTGAAGCTCTTTCATTAACCCCAGAAACTGAGCTATAGCGACAAAAAATAATTTTATTGCGATGTTTCGGCGGCTAATGTTCACGACATTAGAACGAAAATGGGCTATATTATAATTCTTAACCACCTCTTTACCTTATCGTTATCTTCAGAACAACTGTTGATTCTGTAAAGTAAGATTACGTTCTAGTAAGTAAAGCTCTTTTCAACACACTTGCAGTATTAACGAACTTCTTCCTTAATATCAAAATTATACTGGTACTGAAACTGTATAAAGTATTTTAATAGTCCTTTTTACAATTAATGTATAAAGGCATAATATTATTATCTCATTTTTCTAAATACGAATTACAAAGAAAAATAAATGTACGGCTGGGCCTAGCTAAACGTTTTAGTGAGCTAAGGAACCCTAAAAGAACCTAGTTCAATTACCTAATTATAACTTAGTTTTCACCTGCTACGATGAGTTCTCAAACGTTATTAACTATAACACTTGCTTCTAAAATTGTAGATAAATGCCAATTTTAATGCTGCGAATTCTCTGACCCCTTATGGGTTTTCGTATATAAGCTTTTAATTTAAATGCCAATTAAGTAGGTTTTATTAAATGGACGCCTGATTGGTTGCTCTAATCTTTTCTGTGCTTGTAGAAGGCGAGTAATGAAATAGGTTCCATGATTTTTTAAATTTTGTAGTATTAATTTTTTGCAGAAATTATATTCTCTCAAATAACTGCTACCCTAATCTTTTGTGCGAATTTATTTCAAACTGAAAAGTAGTGACTGCTTAGGACGGGCAAGAACTTTATAATAAAATATAAAATTCCTCGTTACTGGTAAAGAGCACTCTATGTCCCTCAATAATGACCTAATGAAATCACTATTCAGGTAGTTACCATCGTTAACAAACCTGTAAATATAAAAAGGAAAGCACTTGTAGTGATTTCGATGCTACGCTGAGATAGGCGCTATATATACCTGTACGCCAACATTTGAAGACTTAAACGAGCAACGTCATAGAATACCTAATAGTATGCGTTTCTAATAAAATAAGGTAAGCTTTAGCTCTCCTTTATTATGATCCTGTTAATGCAATTGTATAAGTAGCTTAATTTAATCAGTTGACTATCGAATCACGTTGTGTCTTTAACTTTATGGTCAACAAGCATACCTTTCTGGAAAATTCCTGAAAACGAGTTCTTCCCTAGTAAAGAGCAACCATAAATCGCTATCGGGCCCACAGTAAAACTAAGCTGTATCCAGGTAGTCACTAATCGAGCAGCGGGGTGTGGGCAATATTCGCTTGAGCGTTATTTAGAGGTGTTTCAGTTATTATCGGAATTAGCGCCCTCATGATGCTGGTAAGAAACGCGCCATGGTCAATGCTTTCTTGTACTACATAAGTTTACGAAGACAACTCTACCCCACAATGGAGCTCTTTTCAACGTCGATAGATGACTAATGGTTGCCGTGCTATGAACACATGGTCTATGGGTTTCGGTCGACCCAGAAGGGTCTTGGGTTTGGTATAATCAGTTCAAAAGAACTGCTTTTAAATTTTGTAAAACCCAGAGCTAGCAATAGTAACCTTTGAATGATGTCACAATGCCTTAGATTTGTGCAAAGCCCCATATCAACGCTAGTATTTTTAAGCAATGGCCCTACATTAAACTGTCAATGATGGCCCTTCGTTTCTTAAGCCGCTGTTGACAGAGGAGAGGTTATTAACCGCCATTAGTCTAAGTGCTTTTATAATAGTTATCTATCGGACTTCTGGAAAATAATATAATACGACAGTGCCACTTTTTTAGTACATATTATATAAGCATATGATTGCCTATGATAATATATAAAGAACACACATTTATTTAATGATAATAAAGTGATAAACTCAAATTTTATTTATAAAAACCTCAAAAAAGAAAAAGTAAAAGGTCTTATGTAAATAAACGTACTGCTTTGCCACTTTCATAATTATAACTATAAAGTTAGTTGTAAAGAAAGTTGTTATTATTATCAGTATCGTTGCTTAATATAACCAACTTAGCTATAACCAGTAGTTATATTATGTATTATAATTGATTGTAAATTTGTTAATAACATGAATTATATTTTAAATTATAAAATTTGTTATTAAAATAAATTATTAGTGTCTTATATTTCAAGTGCTGCTTCTGAATAAACTTTATGTGTTAACATGTAAAAGAATTCCTAGTGAACTGGCTTCATTTTCCACACGCTTCTTAACTTCCTCGGAATTAACTGCACAATATTCTTACACAAACAAGTTAGTTATAAAGAGAAAGAAGGAGAGGGTATACCTTCAAACTCGTAATACTCCTTCCATAAGGAAAAGGAGAGAGGAAACATTCTCAGACCTGTAGTAATGAAGACTTTTAATACCTTTATTACTTTCCAGAAAATCCATGCTATTATAGACAACCTAATAAGTATATATTTCGCGCGCTTTCCACGAGACCAGCTCGCATAAAAAGTGAGGAAAGAATTTGAAATATCGGAAGGCTGGGGTGAGACGTGCTTTTCAACTTTTAGTGGTAATAAGAATAATTGTAAAAAAAATAAAAAACAATGATTATAATATTACACATGATTGGCTAAAAGAATGACTTTAATAATAAACTTTTTGTTATGAAATAAAATTTATAAGTAAATAATAACGAGCCAATCTGTTAATAATAATTTATCATGAGCATTCTATTAAGCAAGGAGAGTCTATAAAGAAATGACATTTAAATTTTAAATTTCGTCGCTATTAGTAATAATAATAAAGTTCCAACAATAATACAAACTCCTCCAGAATATCTCTACACGACTTTTCATTGTTGTTAATTAAGTAATAGTAGCCAGCAAGAACGCGAAATGCACTGCAAAGAGGAAATCTAATAACATTTAAAAAATAAAAAAAAATGTATATAAACGTGTGAAAAAAAAGTTTAAACTTTATAATTAAATATGGAAAAACAAATAATAGTTTGAATATTAAATAAGATCATTATAAAAATGGAAAGTACCCTATATTCTTATAAGTACAATAACCAATCGTAAAAAGGTTGAATGAAAGATAAATATATATAGCGCCAAAAAATTGAATTTTCTGCTTAAGCACTTAAACACAACATTCTTATCTACTTCCCCAACAATTTCTTTAAACATCAAAAAAAAAAAAATGACGGCTCATACTTTGAAAAAACTCCTTCAAAAATAGATAACCAATAGAATTCGGGTAGGGAAGCTAGCAAAACATCGACCACTTCGACATGAAAACTATTAATAAAAATTTTATAAATACAATATACTTAGTTAGAACATGAAGATAGTGAAAAGGTTTAACCAATAAAACATGCAAAAGATTATTTTGTTGGATGAACATTTTTTATAAACTTTCATTAAAATATTTGGATGCTTATATTTCAAATTATGGGTATAAAGCAGTATGAAAATCCCTCTTCATTATCACAATATAAAGCCGACAGTACTATTTGTTCATATTAACGTTCAAACTCCTCAAGCTAACAAATAACCAAACAACGCATAGTAAAGTTGGTATTTCACCGCATTTAGAATTCTACATTAACAAAAAGTGACGAATAAGTCACGCTTAACGTCCATATTTTTAGTGAACTCACCCGTAGTCCACTCTTTCTTCAATGCAAGTAATTCGGGGAAGTTCTTTACATATTAGGTTCAGTAATTCTGTTGTAATTTTATGAAGACCAACTTCTGTAAGACAACTGCAGCAAAGTAAAAAAAGACAAGCAAGCAAGAACGCCGCCTAATAACTAAACCGATTGGCCAGCTTAATCACATCGTCAAGAGCGGCATGTGGGTCGTTAGTGGTACGGAGCACATCACATGCATATTCCAAGTACGAAAGCAAAATTACACTTTTAAAGTTCACTTCATCATTAAAATTGAGAGCAGAAACAGCCGCCTCAAAAGTCTTCATAGCAAAATAAAAAAATAAAAAAAATAAAAAATGTGAAGTTAACTATACGAAAACCTCAAGGATGGAAGCGCTGCTTCTTTTAGTTAAGCGAAGAAACAGAATATAGCAGAGCCACATATAACTGAGTATATAAAAAATAAAAAGTAATTGAGTTGATGATAATAATTGTTTACACATTCGTTCGACAGACAGAAGTATCCAGCCAAACAGCAAACGAGTAAGTCGGTTCCATATGACAATCCTCGACGTTTAAAAGTTGTCCAAATATCGAGTTTATGAAAGTGCAACGCTCTTCACTCCCTCCCTTGAAATCATTTGAGGGCATGCCATCGACGAATAAATGGGCGGCCTTATAAATTTCTTCCAATGCAAAGGTAAACTGCGCTTTACAAAAGAAGTGCCTTGATATAAGTTAGTATTATGACGATGAGTATAAGCCTTGAATGGATAATTTATTATTAGACATTAATAAGATAAAAAAAAAGATTATAGTTCGAGTCTTAACATGAAGTGTTTAACATCTTCCGCCACGCTATAATATTATAATAGAAAAACTAAAACATATTATCGTAGTTCGATACTAGAATCAATTATTGCTCCCAACGATTAGTAAGAGTAAGAGGGACACGTCTATGTGCTAATGTGCGGAAGAAACAATAAAAAAGGTTTACTTTGCCAAGCTACAATAAATGCGTAGTTTTAGTTCCCAAGCAGTAACGCATGAATTCTAAAATAACAAAAGGAATTACAAAATTATTAATAAAAGCAATAAAAAAAAAGTTTTAACAAAGCAAACAAATAAATATACACCAAAATAAAAAGGCTCATTTTTAGCAGCTCCTGACCAGTCATGAACGTTTTTGACAGCTCAAAAAGATAAATCCAAGCCAATGAATTCACGGGAAATGCGGGTTCCCCAAGATTCAGGGTTGGGGGTGTTTTTAATGAAGTCGACGAGGTATGTATATCAGCTTCCCAAAAATACCCCAAAACGGGGTTCTTCAGAACTTTTATTTGAAATTCGATATACAAAAAGTTCAAGACAGAAAAGTATTGGTTAAGATTTTCTGTAGGTTTAATGCACGCATATGATTGGCAAATACGGAAACAGTCCTGAAAGGCTGTAAAAAGAAAAAACATACAAAGTGTTAATAAATACTAGAAGTGCATAAATAAGCAATTGTGGCAGTGAAATAATAAATTCGAGTTGAACCGGTCTTAACGGTGGCTGGAAGGTCACTGTCTTTCATTAAATGAGCTGATGAACGAAATTCAAAGGCGCCAAACATGTTCCAGTTATATAATGAACATCGCTCATTTTCTAAATATTCAGGGATCCACAGAGCTCCGCGAGAGCGAGGCCTCTCCTCTACCAATAACCGGATTTTACATAGTTATAAAAAAAACAAAACCCCAACATCTGGGTCAACAAAATCTTTAAAAACAATAAAAGCTTTCGTAAAAGATTAATGAAATCCATTAAAAATAAGTAGATAACTAAACAACGGAACCCAAAAGGTAAACTGCCTCAATAACGTTATCAAAGGACAATGCATGAATATAATAGAGCCAAAGCAGCATATAATCCTCCAATAGCAATGCGCCAAAGTGGGTACCCGCGTGTGTCATGACGAATACGAAATCGACGCCTAAAAATTATTGAAAGTTTCTTAATGAAAATTAAATGTTATAATTTTACTGTTTAAATTGATGCCAATAAGCTTAAATGGTACAAAATAAATTTTATGTGCAATATAATAAATCGCTCGATTTTCTTTTGGGTAAAAAACGTCACTAAAAAAAAAATTAACCCACCACCAAACGTTCCCTCGCCTTCAAGAGCACCGGAATCATTATTAAGACTCTCATAAGCACACGAGGGCGGGCCGTACATACGTATAAAGGTGCGGAAAAGGACGAGCCCTTCGTGTCTCCTGCCACTCATTAAAAACGTGTGAACGGCCATTAATAGAAAATTTAGGAGATTTTTTGAGCTTAAGGGATAACGATTATTTAGTGAAAATTCCGTAAAACTCGGAAGAATGCGGTTCAACAATTCAAGTTTGTTTTGAAATTTTTTCTGCGAATGTAAAAACTTCATCCAAAGCAAGGCAGAAGTTGGTATCTGTAATATGATAAGGATAATAATAATAATAAAATAATCAATCAAAATAAACTTGTTCGAGTGCAAGTTCAAACTTTTCCTCCAATTCCTTTTCATAATCTACTAAAACCTTTTTCTCTCCGCAAATAATATCGTGTTTTTGGTCATCAATAAAACTTCGTGACTTTCTTTTGAGCTTTTCTGAATAATAGACTTGACAATATTGAATGTACAACTTCCACAACTCCTCGCTTTTCTTGTTAAATTCAAGAGCTCGAGATACAATATGCAGCGCGTGTTCTATTACTCAATAATTGTAATCGTAATAATAAGAATACAGAATACATACGTAAACGTTCAGTAAAAAATCTTTCATGCTTTCCATAATAATGCTGTGCATATTCCTTCCACAGGTTAACATTATAAGGTTCCTTCTTAACCAATTCTTCGTAATCCATTGGTTCCGAGAAAGAGGAATAATATCTTTAATGAAATAATAGTAATAGTAATAGTAGTTATAACAGCAATAACCTCAGTGACGCTGGTTGTTGGGGAACAAAATTGATAAATTCATTACTGTCTGTGACTACTAAAGTCGCTCTTGATCGAGCGGCAGGTGAAAACGGAGCCTCCTTGAAGGGTTTGCTTTTCTTTATATTAATATTTGACACATTGCCTAACGATGATGCAAGAGCCAATAAATCACCTTAAAAGTAAACTCACGAGGACTCCTACGCACAAATTGGCCAATGGGATTCCTCTTATCGCGTGTGTTCAGTTCATAAACAATCAACAACGCGATTTCATTGGCTGTAATAGCAGCATATTGGCTTTGAAGTTTGATTGCTTTTTCTTTGAGTTGCTTCTCATTAACTAAAGAGTTTCCATTGGCCAATGAATGTAAAACAATATAACTACAACTTGCATTTACAGAATAATATATTTAGTAGAACTATTTACTGTTTTCGTTATTTTATAAGCTATAATTATTCCTATTCTGCATCACAAACTAAAATATAAACTTTCATAAAGAAAAACAGAAGCTTTACGCTGCGGAGTATCATAAGACAAAAGGTCTTGGAACAATTCATGATTGCTCATTTTCATATCACTAATATGCGTATATACACAGTTGGCATCATTGCAGGCGCCAATAAGATCATGTTCGCAAAGTACAGAATCTGGCGACAGCCTTTAAAAGATGGGGAAAAGTGTACTATTTAAAAAGTAAGTCAATATTATAAAGAAACAACCTGTTACTAAATGTGAGAGATGAGAGCGAAAACTTGGACTTGGTTCGATAATAAGGGGAGAACCTATAGCTCCGGAACCATACAAGGGGCGTCCAGTAGCTCTGATAGCCTCTACGAGTGGAGGAAGGCTGCACAACAACGCGACCACTGGTCGTTAAAGGAAAGCTCTCTTGGGCAAGTGGTCCGTTGACTGGCCCGTGCTTCATAATTGAAAGTGCGCGCTGAGGTAGAAGAGACAAGAATGGGCTGAAAGGGTCCTCCATGCTGCCCGAAATATTAAGTTTATACAACGTATACTAAACATTGCGAGTTAAAAAGGCTTAAAGCACTTTTTCAGGAGGGCGCTTGTGGTAGCACAGTGCTCTGCTTTCTAAAGTTTGTTATGAGTAATGTATAGAAATGATAATATCGCTGAGTAATACAACCGTCTCATGCACTCCAATACCAGAAGTTCTTTCGATGACTACCGACTGACTGCCAGCTTCGCCGCCTTCCAATGGGACTCGCGCCGGGCCCCCTGAGGCCCCCTCAGTAGATCCCTGCCTCTGTTCTTGGGCGTGTTGTGCTCTGCGGCGTACAGCATTTTCAAGAAGAGACCGCTCAGCTTCGTATTCCTTACAGTACTGAAATTTCAAGTGTGTCTGCAGAGCAAATGATTTTTTTGCTTCATCAGCTTCTTCTTTTTGTTTATTATAAAGTTTCGTTGCACTGGCAAGCGCCGTCTATGAATTAATAATTTATAGATTTATAAATATTAAAAAATATATAATATTGCCTCGTAAATAGAAAGTTCTTTACGAAGCTCTTTTAACTTGGTGTGCTTCTCCAAGCACAGGGCAGCAGCTTCTTTCTTCTTTTTAAGTAAATCTTTTAACCTGATTGCGATATTAATAATATAGTATACTTTTATATAAACAATAAAACTTCTTCTTTGTGGAAGCTACAACGTTAACTTGTGTTTCGCATATAATTTTTAGCTTTTCAGTTTTCTTTTTTAATATATCGATCAATGTATCCTGCTGTTTATATTTATAGTGCAATGTATTATATAAAAGTTTTCGTAGAAGCACAGATTATAATACCACAGAAGGCTCAAAATTATCTCTATTTGTGACGGCATTCACACGCACTATATTTTTGGTGTTCTCCTTTTCTTTTATTAAAGCATTCATTTGACTGATATGGTCGGTAATGGAGTATTCTAGATGAAAATTAAAAAATAACACCAACAACGCGTAATTAAACAAGTTTACGGGATGAGACAAGGACGCCCTCATCGCTACTGGAGTCGGTCTCGTCCAGAGTGATGATAACAGGAGATATTTGGCTGAGATTGCGCCGCTTGTAGTCGCTTTCTGGTGGTTCGACTACTTTATCCTCCGCCAAAACGGATGAAACGGCAGAAGTGGCGAGGAGACAATCTACGGTGTCCACGTTCAAGTCCCAGGACTTGATTCGCTTGGCAGGATGACGATGACTTTCTTTAGTCGTGAGTGGCTGCTCAGTGAGTCTATCTTGCTCTGTTATGACGGCATCATTTTTCATAAAGGTATCGTGGACAGCAGTTTTGGTACTGGAAACTCTTTCAACAGGCTCTAAACTGTCGTTGGAGGGATTTTTTACACCAATCGTGCGGGTGAAACGGCTACTCTGGTTTACACTCACGTGGCGAGAAGCCAACGGTGGAAGGGCGGTCGTGCAGCCTGAATAGCTTGAAAGCGAATCAGCTTTATGAACTGAATGTTTTTGCCTGTCGTTAAAGGAAGAAGGTCGTAGTATCTGGCTCGTAGAACTCGTTCGTGGCAAGGGAGGCTCAATTTTATTAACCAAGGGATGCTCCGCGTAGAGAGGTCGCTTGCGAAAGTAACAGAAAGGTCTCTTATTCTGCATTCCAAAAAACTTGTTTGTAAAATCGCCATATGAAGCTAAATTTTGGTGCTTGCTACCCTGTTTCGTAGTTTCATAATTTAAAAAATTGTAGTGCTTGATGCTGCTTCCGGGGTGTCTATGCCTAGAGAACTTACTGGTCGTTTCACTGTCGCTCTTTTGTAAATAAGTTGTCTGTTTTGGTTTAATATAAGTGGTAGGAAGGTGCTCCTCAAAAGGGACTGAACTTCTAGAAAATTGTCTATACTCAGCATTCTGGTTGGAGAGACTATTCGTAAGCTCATGACCAACAGGTTTAAAGAAAGGCAACACTTTTGTTTTATCATACTTGTCAACTGGAATTTTTACCTTCGGCTTAGAGAAGGAATCCGGCAGCTTAAAATAAGTAGACTCTACTCAAAAATTGATTAAATAGAACTAAAATTAATTATTTTTATAAATAAAAAAAAACTAGTTGGCGGTGAAATTCCAGCGTTGCTTTCAACTTTAGTCTTTTGAAACTCTATATTGCTATATTTTTTAGTTGAAGGCTTAACATATTTCATAGACTTTGTCAATTTCAACAAGTCATCAAAACCAGGGCCTGCATAATTAGTTATTTAAAGCATAGGTAATAAAGTAAACTATAAGACCTAATAGTACTACCTTTATAGAGGTTATTCTTATCAACTGTAACCCATATATTCTCATGTTTTTTAACTGTTAATTTCCTCTTTTCTAAAAGTTTCTTTACACGATAAGAGGATGTTTTTCCCTTAGAAACAACTCCCAAAGATGATGTTTTTAGTTTTTTTATGTTCCCATCAAAATCTTCATCTTCTATTTCACCTTCTTCTATATCTGAAGATGCTTTAAAGGGGACTATTTCACCCTCTTCGACTTCTTCAAGAATTGGTAAAGAAACACTATTTATATCTTTCTTACCAAAAGAAAGTTTATCGTTGTTTAAAATTTGATTCATAATGATAAGTTAATAATAAGGAGTAATATAAAAATTAAAAAACAATAAAATACATATTATAATTCATAAAGCTTATATAATATATAAATGTATATCTCCAACACTCAACCACTCGTGTTAACTTGGACAGGAGGCTTGCTGCCAAACGCTCACAGCAAAACGGTATGAAATTGTGTCCCCTGCCTTTAGTGTTACAGTCACCCCTAATTGGCTAGTTAAAATCTAGTAACGTTTTTATAGAAATCGGTTAATAATTCTACCCAAACTAGAGCAATGCTTTGTTAAGGCGAAAAGACAGGGCGAATAATAAGTATCTTACTACTCGGCCATTAAATAATTTGTAATCGTACTTAATGAGCAACATTTTTTTAAAAGATTATATAGCAGAGTACAAAAGAAATTTTATAGGAATTTGCTGTTATTAATATAGAACATTTTAATTTCCTCTATCCTCAAAAAGTAAAAAGCATAATTCACCAAACTTCTCATAGGAAAAATATAAATTACTACTTTATGGTTATCTATGTACCATTAGCAACACGTCCTAAAACTCCTTTTTAGTTTTCTCTTAAAACAAAATTTTCATGAAACCGGAGTTACCCCATGTGCAATATAAACAAACTTTTCTTATTAATCTTATTGTATTGTTGGGAGTTTATTGAACCTTAATAAATGACTTCCGGACTTATTAAGATGGGCATCCACTCTTTGATATGGTGGGAAATGTTCCCCTAGCTAAGAATCTTGTAAACACATTAATTATATAAAAAGATGAAGAGGGCACTGTACAAGCTTTACTTTATCACAAAAGATAATTAATATTTTCTTAATTTTTTAAACATACAAATCTATAATTTACAAAGTCTCACGCTAAACAAACAGAAATTTTTTTCTCCTTGGTAGCAACCCTCTTTTATCACATATTTAATAACACTTTACAATTTTAAATACTTAAATAATTATATAAAAAGCTCTGATAAGAGTGGACTGCTCTTATAGCTTTTTGAAAATAAAATCTAGGTACACTAAAGATCTGTATACATTTCTTATTAACTTCAGTTTATTTACATACAGTGTCCACTTTTAAAAGCATCCTAGTGCTATCTTAGATTTTGTGGTTTGCGAATAACTTGGCTTTAACATTTTTCCTCTTATACTCAGAATTGCTAATATGGTTATAAGTAATTCCAACAGGGGAAACTTTAAGTTAGCACGACCTGTTCCTTCGTATTTCTACTTAGTCCTTACTGCACAGTTTTATACCAATAGAACTGTCTGGTGAGCAGTAGATGCACGTTATTTGTGACCACGCTTTAAAAAGGCTGCAGACCCAATAATATTAAATCTTTACTAACTTCCCCTGGAAGAAAGGCCATTTATTCTTAACAATAGTCACCTAGCTTCAATTTGCAAACAAGGTATGAAGTCGTTGAGATTCTTAACCTATATATTTTGTCGCTTGCAAATGTCTTGCATTGCCAGTCTTAACGCACAAATGCAGGTAGAGAAGTTACAAATGCGTAGACAAGAGTTGTGCCACGGCTGCTGCGGGTATACAGAACCATAAATAAATATTCATAAATTAAAAATTAAAGTCGAATGCAAAACACGAACAAAAATTTTAATTAAAATAATTATCAAAACAAAGAAACTCATTGGCCAAGATCTCAAAGTTCATTGGTCGACAGTATCTGAAATTTCAGTATACAGAGGTGTAACTAAATAATAAAATGACCTCTTTAGTAGTTCTTCTTTATTTAATTTTATTAAATATAATTTCTATTTATTACACTAACTAATTTGCTACAAGACAACGAGAACGAAGAAATTTTTAGATTAGAAAAAATTAAGTTTTTAATTCGAAAAGAAGGATGGGAAAGTTTAATTATTCGTAGAAAATAATAATGATACCATACCTTAGTTTTTTAATGGATATTGGTTTTTTTAAGCTGATTTTTTTTTTTGAGTTAATAATTAAATTTTATCAGTGAATTTAAATAGAAGATTTAATTAATTTAAAAACTTTTTTACAAAAAAAAAGTCCTGGTACATTTTCTCTAGTTTATCAAGTATAGTCAAGTATTTATTGAAACAACTAACGAGGTCCTCTCCTCCACCCCGAACTGTAAGTGACCTCTTAACAGGTTTTTGTTTGGCATTTAAAAATTAAACTTATTGTGCTATTGCCAATTATATAACCTAATTAATAAAGTTCCTTTACTATTTCAAAAAATTTACTTTATTTATCTAATTTCTAATATTTTTTTTTCTACAGTTATCATTGAGTATAAGTGTGAGTAAATAGTTAATTATTTAGAAAAACAATAATCTAACGTGCAACTTATTACAATTCTATGTTTTAGTAAATAATTTAAATTTTCGTATCATTGAAGATGACTCAAGGGAAAAAAATGTTTTCAAAGGTCTTTATTTATAATAATAAAAATAAGCAAAATATTTATTTTTTGTATAGGAAAGTCACAAGACTATTTCCATGGAAGATTGGAATGATCTTTTAAAGGCTTCGAATGTTAAGAAAAAGTTAACTGTCCTCGTTACATTTTTTTTAAATTTTATTCAGCTATCTAAAGTAGGGATTTGAATCTTTTAGTTTTAAATTATCTGGTTACCGAAGGTTATAAGGTTTTAACTTCTAAATATGTGCTCGAACCGAATTTAATTTACACTCATCTTTATTTATATATTATAATAATGTTAATAAAATTAATAGGATTCTGCCGTAAACTTTATGCAAGAAGCTGGAATACCTAGTAAAAATGACATCGCTTTTATAGAAAGGCGCAAGCAAATACGAAATTCCATACAGAATGGTTCTTTTACATTTGTTTTACTTAGCGTTTTCTATTACATTCAAAATATCCAATTTTTTTTTGTCTACTTTTCGTTATCAGGCGATGTAAAAACTGCTGTTGAAATTTTAAATGATCTGGATCCTGAAGTACTTCTTTAAAAAAGATTTTTTTCGTCTTTTTTATTTTTTTCTTTAGATTCTCGATACCGATCCCCAATTATTTTTTCTTTTACAACAACAAAAACTCATTGAGTTAATCAGAGATGGTATGTGGATTTTATTGTCCTTTAAATCTGTAAGAAGACCTATAAAATACAATTTTTTTTAATTGAACGCAAAATTTTTATTTATAATTTTTTTAAATTTATACTGTTACCGTTATTACGTTGTGTTTTATATAAATATTTAAACTAATTTTCTAATTAATGGTATTTAGCCTTCTGAATTTTTAAATTAACTTTATCCAAGTCTTTTAACTTAATTTATTTATAACCATCTTTAAGTTATTCCAAAATTTATAAATAAATTAAGAATTTAGAGAATTTCAATTTAAAATTATAGAAAAAATTAAGTTTCAACTATAATTTATTATTTAATTTTTTAAAATGAAAGCACTGTTTACTGGTAGAGGTATTTAAAAATTGGTTGTTCGTAGTTTGAAACTTGCCAAAGATTAAAATTTCAATCTTCTACAAGTAACCATGAGTTGACTTGAAAATCTTATAATAAAAACTACTAATACTTAGCATATTAGTATAAGAATTGAATTTATATACCTATTAAACATTCATTTGTCTTAGCACATTAATTAAAAAAAATCTATAATCAAGTTAGGGTGATTATTAAAAGTTATAGTTATTTTATCAGCATCCTACTTGATATTTCACATTTTTTGAAAAAATAATAAGCTTTAATCTGAAAATCACAAGCATCTTGCAAATAATAATATAAGCAAATTTTATTGTAATATTTCGAATTAGATTCAAGTTATTATTTGGTTTGTAAACTAAAAAAATAAAATAGGAAGAACTTTATGATAAAATTTTTTTATAATAACTCAAACTTTTTTAACTTTTTTTCTTACTGTGCTTGTTTAAACTCAATAATTGCTTTTCGCCATTTCCGCTGAAAAGAGCCCAGATTGTCAATCTCTTCCTATAAAAGTTCAAGTTAAAAAATTCGAATTAGTTTTAAAGTTACTGTAAATTTAATATTATTTATCAATGTAATAATGCTACAATTTTTTTTAATATACTATAGTAAATGTACTTAAAAAAAAGGTTAATTTACCAATATTTTGAAGATCTAAATATATATTAAGTTAATTAATTCTTTTTTATATACTATTTTCTCTTTTACTTATTGGTATATAAAAATATTTTCAAGCGTTATAATAAAATTTATAGTTAATAAAGATATTGTTAATAATATTTTTGTTATATTAATAAAACTGCTAAGATTTTATAATTTTAGTATTAATTATATAAATAATATTAAAAATACGAGTAAATATAGAGAATAGTATAGCATATACTTATTATATATTAGACAACGTTTTGGAGGCTCTCAGATTTGCTTCGGAAGAGCTTGACAAAAGCGGCGCTGAGAACGTTTGCTTTATTATTAATTTTATTGGTTCATTTATTTCATTCCTCATTAGCGTTTTACGTTTTAATTTCAGGTTTTTGAAAGTTAATTTAATTTTTTAGGAAGCATTCTTAGAAGAACTCGAGAAAACCATGTCCTTATTGGCTTTTAAAAATAACAAATTGTCTCCAGTTGGGTATTTTATCTTTATTATTATTATAGAGTTATAATTTATTGTAATTATCAGATATCTATTGGACATGAGCCAGCGCCAAAAAATTGCTAGTCAACTAAATTCTGCGATACTTGCGAGCCAAGCACAAGAAAAAAGTACACTAATTATTGCTTTATTTAAATATTTTACACTATAGAAATCCACTGCTTCATATTTTAAAAGACCCGAAACTGCCACTTTTAATTAAGATGCTGTTTTGGTCTCAAGAGCAACTCTCCGAAAAAGTTCTGATAAAATTCTATCTTAATATTGTTTTCTTGATTGGTAGAGTTGAGCACTAACTTATTTACTTTTATACCAATTAACTGGAAATTTTTAAATTGTTTGCGTACAGCAACCGTTATAATTCGTATTAACTGTTTATAAATCTCTTTATTTTTAATATGTAGCTTGCTGATATTTTTCGTTAATTATATAATTACCTTATTGGCTTATAAAAAATTTGTTGTATTTTTCTATTTATCCCAACTTTTATTGGTTACTTATAACTCCGTGATTTGTGGATTAATCATACTATTTATCAATTTATTATAACTTATTAATATTTTTTCTATATTTTTTATAATTATTTTGATGGTCTAGATTTCCTTTCCGGTCATTAAAAATATTTACTCTGCCGATTTACACGAATCAAAAGAAAACAGCGACGGCGAGTCTCCATTATAATTTAAGTTATAAAGTTTAGCATTTTCCCACTTTATTAAAGAAAAAACACACTAACACGTGCATCAGCGAAACGTTGGCAGAGCAACTTCATTCCATTGGTCAGTCCACCGACGCTTTTGAAACTCCAACGCTCCTATAAAAGAGACAATAAAGTTTACCTTTTCTCTACTGAACTTTCTCATATACTAATTATTTATATTTTTATATATATATTTGTATAAATTTTTGTTCCTACTATTTTTTATAATATGGTTTTTTGAGTTTACAGTTAATATTAATATAATCAAACCATAATATTAAGAAAGTAAAAAAATTAACAAAAATGCGGTATAAAAAGAGACTTAATATCATAAAAATATTAAAAAGTTTGCTAATAGAAAGCTTTTATTAACTATTTAATAAAAAAAGGAACTTCTTGTATCATAATATGAAATAAGTCATATATGGTTATACAGCACGTGCACATTTAAAGATCGAAGACACGTGGTTTTTTGTCAAAAATAATGAACGCTCAACATTTTTGTAACAAAATTAAAAATATTTATTCTTCAGGAAAGCATTAATATTACGAAGAAGTCGGAAAAAAAAATTATATATAAATTTTACTTAAAAATGAAGGTTTTTTTGTAAAAAAATAAAGTTTTGTATTAAACTAATAATATAGAAAAATTTCATAAGTGCCTTTTTTATATACATGTTATATAAGCTTATAAGTTTCTTTATTATATATATAAAATTACTTATTTTATTTAGTTTAAAACTTTATATTACAATTATTTTATAATAAGAAAACGCACAATAAAAATAAAAAGTTATACTTTTTTCAAACTAAAAATATAAAATAAAAATTAAATTTTTATATTAATAATATGAAGAACAATTTATAATTATATAAAAAACTTATACTTTATAAATAATCTTATAAATATAAAGAACATTAATACGTATAGCTTCTCTCTTGTTACTTAAAAAAGTTTAATAAAATAATATAAATATCTTCATATAGTAATATGTAAAAGTATAATTATATTTAAAATATTAAAAATTTCTGGTAAAACTCTATAAGCACATGACCACACTTATAACTTTTTACTAATTGGTTGAATAAAGCATATAGAAGTGTTGCCTTTTCGAAGCGCTTCGAGTAGAGAAGATCCATTATTATCAGTGCAATAAAATAAGTTCTAAAAGTAAAAAATGGTATTACTACTACTACTACTAATACTAATAATAATAATAATAATGCCTGCAACTGCAAAGAAAGCTCGCGAGCATCTTTAAATATCAAACCGTTTACACCGTGAATAATTAACTCGTCGATACTGAAAAGAAAAAATTAAGCATCAAGCTATTAAAAAAATATTAATAAAAATTCTTGAAAAGAAGAACCAACGATAAGAAACGGCGCACACTGGGATACCGCTGCCCAGCATGTCCACTGCCTTCATTGGTAGATCTATACCTGTACGACAAGATTAACAAGGGTTTAACCAATAAAAAGTTAGGGTGATAGCAGACCAGAAGACGAAAGGTGGAGACAAACGCCGAGATCCGCAGCAGCTTCGTTAAAAAATCGATGCAAAAACCCATCATTAAAAGTGTCACAAGAGCTACCAAGAAAGCGAGGGTAATCCTCAATGGCCAACCAGACAGTGTGGATAGATACGTGGTCCAAAGGAGAGCGTCTGACAAGAGCTTCAAAGTGACTCCGCATTGGCCCTTTTCCTAGAAGAAAATAATTGACGAATAACTATTTGGCGTAAAAGAACATAACAAACCAGAAATTATGCATAAAATGGCGGGCAAATGCGGTGATTGGCTTTGGCGGGCCAAACTATAAAGTTTCAGAGCGTCATATAAAATAGTGAAATCCTCGTCTTCTGTCCACGAGGTGCTGCTGACTATAAACTTTACTCTATAAACCGACTAATAAAATTTTAATATTTGAGGAGATAAATATTGATCCGTTATTAAAAAAAATTGTATTAACGAAACTATTATTTGCTGGAGCAAGAATGATGGATAACTAATTGAAAAAATTAAAGTAAATCATACTGATTTTAAAAATTGTTGCTAAATGCTAAGCAGCGATTGGCTTAAAAGGAAAAACAGGACACGTGCAGGCGACATCAGAAATAATTTGTTGAGTCACTTTTTGTACGCTTAAATGGTGGTATATAATTTTTGGTAACTGTTGCACGTGTTTTAAACTCGAAATATAATGAAAAACTGTGGCTCGAATGCTGCAATTTATCGCTTCTAAAGGGGAACCCCGTGTGCAATGGCAATATTTACTCCAGAAAAAAACATTTGGAAAATGCGGAAAAAATTGACTGGAAAAAGGAATTACAGTTAGTCGAACCACCTGCGCAAGGGCCTATAAGGTTTTATCTTCTAAAAACAATAAGCACACATTATCTTGCTTACGCACGGAGGCTACATGTGCTTTTTTATCAATGGCTGGCTCATAAATAGATAACAACAAAGCAATCAAGAAAGCACATCTTAAGCATATTAAATAAACGTATTAACTATACTCGATGGACTACCTAAGTCACTTGAATTTTTTTTAGCTAAACCACGCCTGAAGCTTCAACGAGTCAACAAGAAATGAGAACCAACATTTGAGTACTTCCTTAAAATTTTTTTAACGACTAGATAAAATTTTTGGAAGTCTGTCAAGGCGAAACAGGGAGACTTCTCCATAAAAAAAGAGAAAAGCACAATCTCTATTTCCCTAAACAAGTTGGCAACAAATAATCATAAACAGGATAAAAATTAGCCATGCAGGGGTGACAGGATTCATTAAAAAAAAATGATTACTACAACCGCTTGATAAATAATGTTTTCAAAATAATAACGAAACTTTGAAGAAAACAATGCATTATAAAAATTATTAGCAGTTCAATTAGGGAAGGTTATAATAATAACAAAATACTTATAAGTAAAGTAAAAAGGATCCAATACTATATAGTAATGAATATAAAAATACAAAAAAGAGATTCATGAAGTTTGGAACAATAATATTTTATACTATAAATAAAAGTAAAAAGAAAAAATTAATGAAAATATTTTTAACATAAAATATATAGTTAAAATGTTATTGCGAATTTAACAATTTGAAAATAAAAACAATTAGACAAACGCAGTAATAATAAACGAAAATGAGAAGCTCTTAAGCACAATAAAAAATTTGCAGCCTCGCCAGGTAAATTGGGTTTTCAACGGTTAGTTGAATTTTATTATTACTAGTACTATATTATAATGCATTATAAAAAAAAATTCTTACGAATGACACTTGTTGGGCGAAGGAAACGCATTAAAATAGTTGTTATTGAAATCTTTAAAAAACTAGAAGAAAAGGGAATAAATACAAACGCATCATTAATAAAAGTTTTCATTATTACGTACATATAAAATATTTATAAAACTATTTATAAAACTATTATATAAAAGTGAGCAGGAAAAAATAATTAGTGAGTTGCATGATAAGAGATCTTATCCTATAAAGTCTTTAACGCTCTTATTAGTCTACAATCACTATATTATGTTTTATAAGTGCTACATGTATTATTGTGAAACTAATAGTAGCCCACCTGAATTTTTTCCTCCTCGCTCAAACTTTTAAAGATTGCTGGAGGCCGATCGTACAGTTTTCGAGCTCTTTTATACATTTATAAAAAATAAATAAATATATATAAATAAATTCATAGTAACAACGCAAATAGTAAAATGCAAAAGTATAGAAGATTTATAAAAAAAACAATAAAATAAATAATAAAAATGTGTATATTGATTCTACAAAAAAAAAAGATGTCCTACAAAAGGCGTGACATGTTTCTAATGTTTCCGCTATTATTATTAGAAAATCGCAATATCCCAGCGCATTAAAAGTTCGCAACAGCCAATGATAAATTAATTAATGGGGTTCCCACGTGTGTACGGCTATACTATAACATCCTTTCACTTAAAAACAGGAAACCAAGTACAATTATTCAGTGTAAAGCAGTTACTGCAACATGTTAAATAGTATCCCCACTTGTACTTTACAATGTTTTGCACAAGTCATTAGCGGGTGTCAAATTGTTTAAGTATTTCCGACCTGTTCTTTGTGATGATCGGCGCAGGACCCACCGAAATTCACAACTAGGCCGACCGCCTTAATTCAAGAACTTTAAGGAATTTTCTTTAAAACCTAAATCGCTTTCTCTCCCAATGAAATTATAACGGGCACGACAGTGGAGTTTAATAAATAAAAAGATGCTCTGCGCGAAGTCACCAATAAAAAAAAACATGTGAAAGAAATTATAGAGACTTCTAATTGGTTCTACAAATGATAGATTTTGTACAAGGATTTTTATTTGGTTACAAACGAAGTGATCTGTTAAAACACCGCAGTCAATGGACAACGAGAGAGAATGGAAGCTCGTGAAATAATTAACGAAAGAAAGGACAATAACACGTTTTTAAAGGTTATCAGCACGTGTTGAGCAGCGTTAATGAGACCACGTGTGTCAAAATGGAAATAAACAACTTATGCTCTTGTCCATGATCGTTATAGCGATGGTCACATGGAACGGGAAAATTTTTTTTTGAATAAAGATAGAAGGCTTTGCGAGTAAGTATTTGATAAAAATAACATTTTTATAAATAAAAATAATAAAACAAAACGTTAAAGTCCATTTTTTAAAAGTAACTTTTCAGTAAAAGAAAATAATTAATAAGATAATGGATCAATGAGATTCAATTAAACATAATGAGTAAAAAATATATTGATTAAAAAGTAATACAGTACTATAGTTACTAAATACAAAAGAGATAACGAAGTAATAATAATAGAATGTGTTTATTTATAACTTTTACAAGCAAAAATAAATAGAAACTATAATAAAATAAACATGAAAGAGAAATCAAGAAAATAGTAAATATAATTAATAAAATATTAATATCCATTAACTTTATATTGCAAGCACTCAACGCCTTTTTCATTTCTTCCGTTACGCAAAAGTTATCATCAGCAAACTTTCCGAGAAAAATTTCGTAACTATCATATTAATTATTATTAAGATGAATAACTTTTCTAGTAAAAGGTCCTTATCAATATTAAAAAAAAAGTCAAGATAAAAGCTGCACTGCACTACAAGTAAAGCTTAAAGGCACACACTTTCGTAATAATTTATAAAAAGAATATAAGCAAAAATAAAAAATAATAAAGCCAATATTAATAATAATAAGTATGTAAAAATAAGAATAACTGTATATATTTAATTATATATAAACTTTAAGGAAGTAAAAGTATAATATTGAATATATATAAAAAAGGAATTTATATAAATATAATAATAATAAATAAATATAAAAATTAATATAAAGAAAAATTAAAAAAGTGATTAAATATTAAAACAGAAAAGTTAAAAAAAGTAAAGAAGAATAACAAAAGTACTGTTTATAAAGTTTCACGAAAAAAGAAGTTTTTCCAAGTTTGAGGGCTAAAATAGTATAACCTGGAAAGTTTATATATGTGCATACGTTATTATTAAGTTTATAAAGTCAAAGTAAAAGTTGTAAAATATCAAAAAATAAACAAAATATATTATTACAATATATAAGGAAAAGCCAACAGTAAGTATTAAAAAATATAAAAAATAAATTAAAAAAATAATTAGTTTTCCACTGATAAAAAGTTTTATAAAAGTTAAATAACAATAATAAATTTATATTTATTTGTTAATATATATTTTTATATTACAATAATATTTATTATTAAAGTATTTGATAAGTCGTTACTAGGTGTTTTCAGTTCTAAAAAAATTTATACAATGTTATAATAATTAAGCCCTTGATAAAATGATCAATAAGCATTGGTAGTTTAGAGCAGTTCAAGCGTGCGGAATGGTCAGAACATACCGCCCAAGCACAGCCGACTCGAGCAGAAATCCTCGAGGGCAGTTAGGGTTAGTGAGTTTTTAGGCTTTAAAGTTTTATTAACTTTTTGCTTCAGATTTACTTTTTTACTTTAGTAAATTTTGAAAAAACCTTTTCAGGCAAATACGCTAAATTTAATAAACTATTTAGTTATAAATATTTTGTTAAATTATTATAACTTTTAAAGTGTTAATAAATTATATTTATATCTATGAAACTTTTGAAGAAAATTTAAAAATTTCCCGCAAATGATTAATAAAAAAGTTATACTCACGGCGTTTAGAGCACGTGAGAAAATATTAATAACTTTCAGAAAAAGACGTAGTTGACATTTATTAGACATAGATTATAAGAAGCTGCTGCAAATAGTCAATAGCAGAAACCAGAGTTCAAGCTAAAATTTAGAAAATTAAAAAAAAGATTTAAAAACAAAAACAGTGTAATCGTCACTCGTTGTTTTTCTAACAAATTTGTATATGATTTATAAAAGTGGAAGAGCTCATATAATAACGAATAATTTTTTAAAAGAATTCCTTTTCAACGAAAAATAAATGCTAACTTATATTTATATAAAATATTACTAAAAAACTACTACCATATATAAAATAAAACATAGAAAAAAACCGAAGTTGTGCCAGTCTATAATCAACTTCGCACCTCGAAGTTTACTAAAAAAAAGAGCAACTAACATAAGTGGAACTGCCGGAGGATTCTAAGTAAAAAGTTAAATTGAATTAATATTTACAGAAAAGGAATAAATTATAATTTAAAATTAAATCATATAAAATCAAAAGTATTTAAATAATAATATTGCGGTGAGCGATTATTATATATATTTATTACCTTTAAACGTTGTAATAATTAAATACTCAATATGATATATTTACTGAATAATCAGTTTTATTTATAAAAAACCAAAAGAAAAATTATCTACGCAATTCTTTGAAAGATTAGAATAAATTAAATAGTTCATACGTCGAATTGGTAACCTAATAAAACTAGAAAAATCAGTGTTTCTAAATTTTATTAAACTAAACGTTAAAAGAACACTGTTAAAAAAAATAACTTGAAAAAAATTTATTTTATATGGATTAATTAACATTTGGAGCTAAAAGAAATACCATTCGTAAACTAAATTATCAATATGAGGAAGTAATTAAAGTTTATTAACAAATATAGAGTTAAAAGATAACAAGAAAGCGACTAATAGAAGGTTATTGATTATAAAAAGTGCAGTCACAATGAAATAGTGTAAGGGCCCACAAACTTGTAACGTTAGAAGCAAGTTATAAAGATATATTAAAAGTTTTAAAAGTTACCTGTACGCCATTTAATTATGTATAAACTAAAATAAAAAATTAGCTTGCATTAAAAAGTTACTTGTATAAGTATGTGCTGTGGGGCTGGTAGAATTATAAAAGACATAACAAGATTAAGTAGCAAAGAAATTGTCTTAAAAGGAAGATAAAGAAGATAAAAGGCTCTTTTTGGGAAGTGTAGAGGTGTACTAGGTTTTTTAAGATAATGAACTGATAGGTTCGGGTGCTCCAAAACTTCTTTCATTATACAGCTGTCTTCAAAGATATAATTAAATAAAGCTGAGAGGAAAATTATTCTTTTAAGAAAAGTAATAACCATCATAACCGAGTAAATAAACTTTGTAATTATTTTGAACAAGAGATAACGCGTGATAAATAATTCTAGGGCTATGGCCTAAATCGCCAAGCACGGCAACGAAGACCAAATTAGATCGTTTTTCAATTCCTTTAATAAATATTAACTTAAAAAAAGTAAACATAGAAGTTGATTACCATGAAAAATAGCATAATACAAGATGACGATGACCACCGAAATGAGAATAACGACTTCCACTAGCATTATCAATGCTCATACTACAAAGTCGGTAGTAAGCAGCCAATCCTGATTATGTAGCACTAAAGACTCTTCCACGCGATTAGAGCGGCCCTAAACTTAAATTTGTTATCTGGGTTGTCAACAGCGGGTTTTATTTTTGGCGTTCTATAGTACAATGGAAGTACTGGAGCAAAGATCTTGAAAAGAATTTAAGAAGCTTAATATTCTATTTACTAATACTAAGATCTAGATTTAGAGCTGATTATATCAAAGATAAAGCAAACTACATTTATTCACTGTGCAAAGGAATATGTAGCAATTTAATTAGTAAAACAATGATCTTTACATATCTTGGACGAGATAAAAGGGGTGTTACAGCCGAAACTTAAAATGCAGTGAAAGGTGAGTATGCTTAAGTTATATAAAAAAAACTTTAATGAGACTCCCAAGTCTTACAAAATCTTGAGGAACTCTAAAATTCAGTGAATAAATACTCAATTTTATATAATTTGGAAACAGAAGCCTGATTTCAGATTTCCCACTATGTTTAGAAAAAAGGTTGTCCGATTCACAAACTTCATGCTTTTGATAACTTGCAAACCGAGGCAGCACTTTAATCTTGCGACGACTTTACGAGGTGTGGGGTGTGTATCAGATGATTGTTTGGCAAGGAGTGTTTATAAGATGCTTAAAGTTTTATTTAGGGTGAGACATGGTTACAAAAAAAATTTGAAACTACGTGAGGTTGGAGACTAACTTAGGGCTAAAGAAAATAGAAATGTAAGACTCGCCATAATCGATAACCTAGTGCTAGCTATACGGATGGTAAAATAAATTACACAACCACGCTATTTTCTAATGGGACTAAAAGAAAGGTAGTATGCAGTAAATAATTGTTTACTTGAGGGGAGTAGTTGCAAAAACTGGAGAAAACTTATCAAGTAAAGATATAATATATTTTTAATAGCATAACGCTACTTTAGGAAAGGCAAACGCGGAGGTTGATATCTGTTAAACACTTGATAAAAGTTATACTGGATGAACTGCAGTTCCTGTTGCTTTCCTGCGTTAACAACCGATGTAGAAGTTCATTCTTTAGAAGAAGCCTCTTCTCCCGAAAACTTGATTTCCTTACCTTTAAAAAGTACGTGAGTATAAACCCTAACCTTGTTATATCCGTGTGCCCTAAGTGTTATCTCGATATATGGTGTAAACTATCTTTTTTTTTATTGCAGTCCTTTTACCCCTTTAAAATTCCAAAGAATAAATATTTTATTAATATCTCAGCTTAAAATATTGTAAAATAATTTTTTAAACCAAGAGTAATTTTTTTTAGTTAAACAATAACTTTTAAATGCCTCTTATTAGGTAATGTTAATGACACGAACATGGAAATTTTTATAAATTTAAATATACTAATCCTAAAAAGTTTTTTAGAAAGTAATTTAGGAAAACTATATGTTTTTAATAACCCATTTACAGAAATTGCACTCAACGTGTGTAAGTATGAAAATTCTTTTATAATTAAAATAATATTTATTAGCCTCAAAGCCATTTTAAAGCACAGTTTATAAATATTTACTAAAAATAAAACAATAATTTCTTTTTTTTTTCAAAAAAAAACTTATGTTTACTATATTGAATATTTTCGGTTGTACTTTTTGCTTAACTATTTACAACTCGATTTTAGGTTTTATTCTTTAATTATTTTTTAAATAATCCTTAAGAGCGTTATTATCCTAAACTCTGCAGAATCAAGGGACTATCGCTCTTTTGTGTTTATTGAACACGTCGACTTTGGACTTCTGCTACTTTTAGCTCATAAACGTAATAAAGGTGGGTGATTATTTTTTTACAATTTTCCTGTTAAATTTATAATTATATATGAACAGGCTCGCATTATCAACTGCCAGGAGGCCACATCGATACCCTTGAAATTCAACATTTTGGCTTAAAAAGGGTTTTCATTAAAAATTATAATTCAATTTTTTTTCAAAGTTATAATATTTTTAAGGCTGCCTTAATAGCTGCCATTAGAGAAGTTTACGAAGAAACCGGGCTTAGTTTTTCCAGCTCTCCAAAACGGTTTCTTATATAATAACTTTTAGTGTTTAATTTTTTTTTATTTTTCATATTATATAAAATTATTTTTTTTATAGATATATTTTTTAACACTAAAATTTTTTTTTGAAAACCCGCCTTTAGTTTTTGGAAAATATCCAATTTAAAATATTATTTCAACGTAAATATTTTTTACATAAAATATTAACTTTATCAATTATATATAATATAATATTATACATTATAAATTTAGTAGAAGTAATTTTAGTAATTTACTTCGTAAAACTTTACATTTTTTATTTTATTGATTTTTAATTTCGTGATTTCTAATTACACTATTTTTTGAGGACAAAATAAATTATTAATTCAAATTCTAATGGTAAAATTTCTAAAAAAAAATTGAAAAAAAAATTACTTTACGTGCGCATTGCCTTAATAAGTTTGTAATTTTTTAACGTTCTAGAGATTATAATAATAAAGAAGATAAAATAAAAAGTGAATTAACGCGAGTTGTTTGAATTCTTGGGTGAATTTTATTCTCATTGTACTAAGAAATAGTTATAAATAATAAATAAATTAGTATTAACTTAGTTAAATTTTTATTAAAATAATCATTCTATTTATAATTTGATTAAGCTAATAAAGTAGCTGTTTGAAATTTTAGTACAAAGCAATTTGGCCAATCTTATTTGAAAACTAATTTTTTAAGTTATTCAAATTTAACTTAAAGGAAATCGAGAAAACTCTCAATAATAAAATTTATGTGTTAAAATAAGTTTAATCTTAAAGATTAAACGTTTCTAAATTGTAATTATTGTAAGCGATTGTGTAGCTCTCTAAATTAAAGGAGTAAACGGATTTTTATAGTAAACTTCTATAAATTTCCTTTTTGTGTAATTTGAAATATTGAAAAGCAATTCAGCAAGTTTAGCTGATTAGGATATATTAATTATATAATATAATTCTTTTTTAAATTTTAAGTATTTTAGCAAATTAGGTAAGTTTTATTATGCCTTTATAATTTTTTTTGTAAAAATAATTAATTTCTAAATTGCAAGCGATTGAGCATGTTTGACCGTAAAAATTAATTTTTAAACTTTCAGAATAATTAGATTGAAAAATCTCCTCCAACTTTTTGTAGAACTTCACTTTATGAATTCTAAAATAATTACAATTCAGAGCTGTTAAGCGGCCTAAAACAATTATATTTTCCTTAGTGTTTTAAATTTAGTAAAAAATTTTGTAAATTATTAAAGATTCAAAGGTGAATGTAATAACTTTATCAGATTTTCAGAGATTAATATATTTTTTAAATGAAATTTAGCTTAGAATGTGTGTTTAGTATGTTTATTTTTTTAATAATATTTATAAAGAAATAAGATTCTATAAGAAATATTCTTCCTAGTTAAATTTAAATAATTATAATCGAAAACATTTCTAATAGCTTCATCTCTACAAATTAAACTTTTAAATTTTTTTTTATTGCAAAACGTCATCCTTAAATTTTTTAATATTTTTAACCTGGTATAAAAGAATATTTTAAAAATTCAGATTAATATTTATGGCGTTTCCTGGAAGCCCGGATGGTTCTTTAAAGGGCCGCTTTTACTTCCGTGTGTCCATCAGCGACAGCGATTCTGTAAATAGCAGCACTTCACCTGCCTCGTGCATAAAAAGTGCTTCTGGTATATTTTTTTTTAAAAAATTTATTTATATAGTGCAATTTCTTGAGAGTGCAAGTTATTAAAAAAAAATTGATTTTGCATTCTTTTTTTTAATAGTAGTTTTATTAAAGAAAATCCTTTTAGTTGAAAAGTAAAAGTATCTCGATAATGCTCACGTTACCATTGAAAACTTGTGATAAAATATAGTGAAATTTTCCAAGTAGAAATATTTATTTTATTTTAAACAAGTATTATAACGGAAGATATTAATTTGAGGAATTAAACGCACTGCTGATGCTTTTATACTATTAATAATAAAAGAGTTCTTTATTTTTATTTTTCGAGATTTATTAAAGTTAAGAGTAAATGCAGTGCAACATTCTCGTATTCATAATTATATAAAAGTATTTTACTTTCAAATTTAATTAACAAAGTACAGTGAAATGAGTTGATCATAGTAGTACAATTTTTTAATATGTTTTATAATCCACTACTGTACAGGAGAGAATTTCTATTTGCGCCTCTCCGACGAGCACGTGGGATTTAAATTTGAAAAAGATTATAGAGTTGCAACCAACGACATCAGAAAGCATTCTGGCGGTAAAAATTCGCAGGCATTGTGTGTTTATTATGGCAAGCTGAGAATGTCCTGATTGAAAGTAGATTTTTTTTTACTATAATAAAAATAAGTTTTCTTTCATTTTTAAAGTTTAATGAACTAACCATGAATTTTTACTAATAAGAGAATGTAAATAATTTCTACAATTAACTTTAAATATTTTTAGGCCAGAATACTTTTTAAAATTTTAAGTTGATGAAAAAAATTTGTAAAGCTAACTAAAATTTGATTAGAAACACTTGTAATAATTAATAAAGTTGTTTAAATAAAATAAAATTCAGTATCCCTTTTTTAAAAGGTTCAATGAACAACTTATATGCCTCAGCCATAAAACTGCAGTTTTATAATTTTTTTCAAGGAACGCCATGAAAAATTTTTGAAAATGAAATTTATTAAGCTTATCGTTTATGTAATATTTTTTTGTCTATAATTAAACTGTGCTTTCAAGCTTTTAATAAATTAGTTAATAATAATATGTTCTATGAAAACTTCAAATCCGCCCTTTTAGCATTGAACTACGACTCCTTATCTCTACGTGTGTAGTTCATTCTTTATTATTTAAATGCGCAATGTTTAAAGCACTTAGAATTTAATTTTAAAATTTGAACTAATTTGTATTAACTCAGTATTGCACAATTTGATGTTTTGTAACGAATTCGCTTAAAACTACTCTAAATTACTTCTTTTACAGAAATTATCCAGAGAAAATTATAAACAAACTTTGTAACGCTTATCACTACACTGAGTGCACTTTATTTTCTTACTAATAGTAAAAACGAATCAGATCCTTTACAACAAATGTACGGGTAATGAGCTTCAAACCACTTAGCAGAGTAAGCAACCATATCTGAAGGAAAAAAGCCGTCGGAAAGTTTCAATACATGTTAGGTTTCAATAAATTATAAGGCCCTTGCATTCCATGAATAAATACTTTATAAAAACTAATTAAGAATTAAAATATAACATCATCGTACTTTTGAGGCATAGTAATCATCTATTTGATAGCGCCAGATCTCCTGGGGTACAAAATTTTAAGGTAAGGAAAACTTAACCGTTAACGTGTTCACTTTAATAATGAGCCACGTTACCACATTGAAAAAACTAAAACAGCTAGTCAGTAAAAAAGTAATACAGTAATTTGATTCGGTTCACCAAAAATAATAATATTTATAAATGAGCAGTTAAAAAATCAATTTATTACAAAGGAAATTCTAAATAAGACGCAGAAGGCGTGTTTGAAGGCCATAAAAATGTTTTCTCCACTCAACAAAATGAAGTTACTTTAGTGACCGTTTTAAAAACTTACACTTAGTACTGATTAGTTCGGCCCTGTTTTACAAAATACTTAAGTTTTAACTCTAACCAAGTTGCGAGGTTTTATAGGTAAAATTAGATATTAGACCGCTCAGGTTATGCATTAGTTTGAACTTATATTATGAAGCTTTTAAAATAGTTTGAAGCTCGTAATCAAGCACCACCAGGAAACAAATTTGTCAACAGTAATTTTAGCCTTCGTAACGCGTAATTCATATACCACTCTTGGGCGAAAAACTGAGATTTAGTAACAAAAAAATTAGCGGGGCTACATTTCCTTTCTTTCATATTTTTATAAGGCTGTACCCATCTATATACACCGGCTGTTGTATATTTTTTTTATTTTGTTTACTGACATACTACAATCGATATGTATAGCATATCTTTTCTGCTTAATCCTTATATTCCTCTTAAAATGTAAGAGGTAAAGAAGGCTCCAGTTCTCTTCGAAGAGTCGTCATCTTCAATGTTTGCGCACCAAATCATGGACAAGTTAAAAGAAGAAAGAAGTACACAAGCTACAACCAAACTAGGGAATGCAATCCCGCGCGAGATTGGGCTATACGGAACCACAGGATTCTAAGTCGATCCCGCGGACTCGCCCATATTTACTCGTTTTGTTAGATTTCGTTACAGCCTGTAACTGACAGGAATAAAAAATTAACTTCTATTTTTCTAATTTGAAGGTTCTCTTTATATTATGATACCTACAAGAGGGAAAATTTGGAAAGAAAAATTTTAGCTGAAGAGATCCTATCCTACTTAGAGATTTTCCACCCCTTATAAGGTAGCAACATTTCAGAAACCCCAAGAAAAATTTTAAAAATTATTAATGAAAAGATAAAATGAAAAAAATTTGAAGTTGAATAGATTTTTTTTTCAGTGCTCATTTTAATGACTTCGGTGATAGAATTTCAAAAAATTATGTCTAAGGGTATCCTCATTCGTACGACCCACCTTACTTTCACACAAGTGTCCTGCCGTTGAAAACTCTCGTTCTGCCTTAATGCTTGACGGTGGAATTGAAAGAAGGTATTGGTACAACAGCTCAATTTTATAACTCCGGAACATTCCTTTGCACTTTGTAGTTTTTTTCGTACTTTTTAAGAAAAAATTCCAGAGGATGCCGGGCCCGAAACCACATACTCATATTTTTAACTCCAAATTTAATTTTTAGTCGAATGTCAAATAATTTAAAGATAAATCAAATAAACTAACTCAAAATAAAAATGAAAATAAAAACACGAGACAAGAGAGAGAAGCAAAACGAGATTAATTTTACTGAGCTCCACGAAAAAATTATACTAGTATTGCGCCTGACCCAGGAAACAAAATTCATCATCACTACAGGGATTATATGGTAACAACTATCGTTTTATGGTAGTTATTATCTAACATCGAAAATTAACAAGTGTGAGTTTATTTCACATAATAGGCTATTATTTAACAAGTGACAAGCAATACTGAACAAAACATGTAGGTGTTATGAGTCATAAAGCACACGTCATAAGGAAAAAAAAACATTTAAAATCACAAATGAAAGGATCCTAAATTGTTTTTAGAGGAGTTCTGCAAAAATTGATTAACTAAATAGTAAAAAAAAAGTTAAGATAATAACTATTTTTTTTTCCGCAAAGCGCGGAATCACGATTGCATCCCCTGAACAAACAAAAAAATTATGATATATTACAACGTTTCCACAGTGGGATTGGTGTTTAAGTAACATTTATATATGTATATGTATATACTGTAGCTAAAATGTAATATAAACCATTATAAGGAATCCAGCGATTGTTTGACAGGGTTTTTACACAATCTAAAATATCTTTAGATATAAACCTTTCTTCCAGGTTATCATACTTAACAAAATTAAATTCATGGCCAATCGTTGATGTTTTTATAAAATTTATTTGTAAACTTTTAAATTTTATACGGGTTAAATAAAAGTTCCTAATAGCTCTTAGGAACAAAAAGTAATTTTTATTTAGAAATATTTCGCTTAAGATCATGTTACAATTATAAGCTCTTCAGTTCTATATAAGTAGTATGCGTCTTTGAAAGAAGCTTTTGGTAAATAGCTATAATACAGAAAATAGTAAAAAAATAAGGAAATTTACCCACAACTAAGTCAAAACTGGGCAAGGTCGTGAACAGTAGCAAAAACCAAAATTTTTGAATGAAAGCGGAACTTAAAATTAACCACAATAGGAGAACCAAGCGAAAAGCGCCCTAATCTTAAAAAAAATAATAGAAACAAACTCTTGTTTTCAAACAGTAAATTTTAGATAATTGAAGTGTAGCAACTAAAATTACTTTGGAAAAGCTTGGGAGCGCGAATTAATACAGCAATTAGTAAAGTTGTTTTATATTTTGCATCTGATGTAGAGTATACCTTTATAAGTACGGAGTTTTCACGCATAGACTTATCAATAGATCAAAAGCTAGCAATACTGGAAATTTATCTTTAAATAATTACCAAAAATGTATTCCCCACGCTGTTAAACTAATTCAAGGAACGCTTTAAAAGGCGAGCAAGCTATAATTTTGTAAGATAATAGAGGCTTACAAATGATCAAAACTTCCTACATAATGGCCTCTGTCGGTCTAAGGCATAAGTGACATGATTGTTGGAAGAAAAAACGAATGGCCTTTATAAATAACGTACTTGCTACAATAATAGCTGTTTAGTTCGATTAGGGCGTCAACACTTGTTTAATATTTTCAAAAAATTTATATTGCGGTGAGTAACCACGCAAAAGCATAAGAAGTCTGCGGTTACATAAAAATGGGAAAGAGGATTATAATTTTGGACCAATAACAGAAGTAAAAGAGGCTAATTATATTAATACAGCAAAAAAAAAACTTCGATTTGCTATAATTTAAATGAGCAAACAATGGAAGCCATTATTAAAAATATATCTAGTTTTTACTACTAAGGTAAAAAAGTAATTAAATAAAACTTTGTCATCACCATTATTTTGGCCACTTTTTTCGCTTGCTTTATTTACATACTAAACAATACCAAATGTTAGTTACGAAGAAGCCGTAAGACGCTTTAGCTTAATTAAGCATTGCAATGGAATCTAAATATGTTTTAAAGATTCCTCGGTTTAAAAACTTTACAAATTGCTATGTTGCACTTTTTAGATTACAAGACCGTGAAAGGTAATTAACTAATGCCATTTGATCTAAAAATATATAATTATTGCACCAGCCGGGCCATATATATGTACATATACACTTAGTAAAATATTTATGGGTTTTTATCCCGTTTCTCGCTTTTCTGCCTTGCAATTTTCTGCAGTTCTTAGTAAAATTGATTAAAACTCAAACCAAAAACTTAATTAGTGATCTAAAGGGTTACTAATAACACGAAGCATTATTTTTGTTGAAACAAATTAAGAGCCCAATGAGCTACCGATTAAGCTTAAGTCAAGACAAGTTAATAAGAAAATGATTCACAGTAGATGAAAAATTAAGATATTTGAGAACCTTCCCGATTGGACAAATCGAAGCTTATTTTAACAGAAAAGGTGCAATCGAGGCTCTGTTCAATTCCAACCTAAAGAATAAAAGAAAGAAAGCAATAGTATGGGATGTGTTAATAAGTAACCTTGACAAAAGTTCATCTTAAACATTAGAACGGTCTATGATCAAAGATTACGAAAGGGAGCCAAAAAAGCTATTATGGGATGCCATAGAAGCAAATTTAAACATAAAAACTCCCTCCACAAAGATTCGTTGGAATGCGAACTACTGGATCTTAGAATAAAACCAAATGAAACAATATTTTCTCTACAAGACTGTCTGAGTACCCCCATTAGGAAGATTGAACATGTATGCTACTAACAGTATGATGAATCAAATATTGACAGACTTGTTAGCGCACTTTCAAATAATTCT